TATGGGAATATTGATTTATTTACTTATCAGAATTATATTTACTTATCAGTTTTACATTCAAACGAGGAAGAAATATTTGCACATTTAAGAAACGACTTCATAGATTCATTTACTTTTCTCTCAAGTCCATATAGCTTATACGAAATGATTGCGTCTTGTATGGTTTGAAGGCTTTTAATTTACTTATTTATCATAATGAGAACTAAGATCTTCGCGAGTTTTATTAATTTAAATGAAACTAATATTTTTTTGGATATTACAACGCGGTCTATTTTTGTTAAAACACTGCATACTCCCGACGTTTCGGCTACTTTTCAGCAAGTGTGATCAACATCTCGTCTGCTCGTGAAAAAAAAATTAGTTTCATTTAAATTCTGTAGAATCCTTATATTAAATAATACATTTTCTTATAACATTACTTTATTCGGAGACAGTAATATATATTCTGAAAGTAATATGACAAATGTTCCAATACGAGCGTGGGTACTTTTCATATCTCAGCATCATTGGCATCTGTAACCGAAACGTTTCATACGTAGGACCCTTTTATTTCTCAAGTGTATAAAATAAATAATAACAAACCTTACCATTCTTATTGGTATAATAAAAAAGGTATATTTCATCTTTAATTTCCATTATCTAGATACCAATATACTGTTATGATTTCAATTCATATTCTAATGATCAATTCACTTGGTACCAGTGTGTCAAAGGTAAGGTTTGTAGATACGAAAATAGGCTTTATATCGTTCACAAAGTGTATATATTTGCTTGAACATATTTCGGGTTATATCTGTAATGTACATTTCCGTGGAAGCCAGGCTCTGTATAGTTTATATTAACATATAAAATGTACTGTCGATGACGTTCTGAATACAGAGCGAAGTCAGTTTATATTGAAATCATGATTCATAACCTTCATTTAGAATCATAAACTTAAATTTCATGAATCTGAACGAATGATTGGTTGAGTGACATGTAAAATATATTAATGATAATCTATATATGTATATCTTTGTTTTTTTACCTAAAAACACAGGTACCGAAACCTTTTCTGTAAAACTGGAATGTATGAAATAAGAAACAAAAGTTATTTCGCCGTCAAAACAAACGAGGCATCTTTTATATTTCGTAGAATACAAGTTACCATTCAATTGAAATAGAATGATTGATTTACGCCAACAATGATCGATACTTGATAATTATTGATTGATTATTTCAACTTCAATAGTATAATAGAAATGTCATTATGTTTGAAGTTTAGTGACACACACACACATTGAAGAATCTTCACGGATTGACGTTTTATACATGTGTGTGTCAATTGTGAAGGTCATGGTAATGTGTGTAACGTTTTTTAAAATAATTTAATGTATTGCTTACTTATTTTTTATATTCTAAGAAGTAAATATAAGTAAATTAGAAAAATAATCGTAATCGGTCGATTCGTTTGAGAGCTATGATGCCGCTAACAGACATACCTATACACATGTACATAGAAGTCAAACATAGCATCCCTTTTTTTAAGTTGGCTATAATAAAAGCTTAACGCACTTCTTCAAATAAACTTTAACAAAGTTTAGTTCCAAGTTCGTCAGTTTGATCGATCCTCTTACAAAGTGATACAAATTTATGGTTTATAATTGAATACATTTCCTCTACATAAGTAAAAAAGCATAAGCTTACTTATCAGTATATTAAAAGGAAGATATCTTGCAATGTAACCAAAAAAGACACATATTTACCAAGTACTGAAATAACTAAATTATAATTTTTCTATTTATAATGGAAGGACAACAAAAAATTATAATGTTCAATACTTATAATAAAAATTTTAATAAACAAAATCATTACTTTTTTATTGTAATTATTTATTAATTAACATACTTTTTCACCCATAAATCATGTATATCCTATTATTATAAATGTGAAGATGTATTTATGTATGTATGTATAGAAGTTTGTTGCTTTTTCAAGCAAAAACTGCCACACAGATTTTGATGAAACTTTGCTGTAATGTTAGCTACATTAGAATAAGACAAACAGATAATTTGTCCTTTAATTCCATGTATTTCCATTCGGATTTTTACATAAGAGTTGTATTACGTATGAATTTTAGTAGCACAGATGGCAGAATATAACTAAAATAATAATTTTAACTTACTTCATACATTTCTCTCTGAGCCAAATTCTGAACTATTCACAGACAAAGTTGCGAGCAAACTCTAGTGCGCTGTATGTAGTATGATAGTAAACTTCAATACCAGTTTGACACCATATATGAAATGACAAAATCTATAGCTATAATATTTAATTAAAACAATATAATATATACATTTTCAATAAAATTAAAGGTATAACGTTAGCGTTATAAATAAATATTTCTCATTTAATACACCCTGAACAAATTATAAATTCATTTAACATGCACTAATGCAACGCAGTGATAAAAAAATAATATAATAAAAATATGAAAAAAATAATTTAAATGAGTATGTAACATTTTTATTTGTAATTTTCTCATTAAACACACTGGTTTTTAACAAGTCACCCGTTAGTAATGTGTGAGCGGTAGTTAAAAGGGAAAGGAGAATTTTCCCGACCGTTTTAATTTAGCCGATTTAAGGGAAGGTTAATGTAATTTTTTATATCTGCTCCCATAACTTTTGGCGTTAAAAGGGGTTAAGTTTAATGGCGCTGTTAAAAAAGCTATCAAGAGTAAATAATGGAGGTGCTTTGATTATTAAATAAGATATAATTTCTGATATGTGTAATATATTTTAATATGTAAATAAATTTATTTTGTTCCAGATGAGAATTGAAGTTACCATGAAGTTCTTTCAAGAGACTCTTCAATGATGATAATGGGACCCTTCCATAGAGCTCCCTCCTTAAACAATCATAAGTCACAGGTATAATATAAAATTAATTCTACCACACGATACTTGATAATAATCACTCTAGATTATATCATCGTCTTGTCTCAATGAAATGTATAACCTTCGCGAGTATTCATTTAAATCTTCTTGTCTTGTTTTGCGAACTATAAGGTGTTACATAAAAGAAAACTAATATTTTTTACCCCTTTGATCATATCTCACTACATTTTCCACTAAATGTCATTTCAGAATGGTTGAGGAGTAATTTAATTACAAACAGACAAACATTTCTTTATCATGTCATAAAAAGTATTTTATTTTTCACTTACCAGAATATTGGAAACTTGACATTATGCAGTGTTCAATATTTGTCTTAAAAATGTAGACTACATTTATTTATGCTATGGCTTCGTTCACGCTGAAATTGTGAAATATTCTGACAATGTCGTATTTTTTTGTTTTTGAACAAATTATAATTTTGAAGATCGTGTGAAGAAAAGATGAAGGAGTTTTTCGAATTATAAAGAATAATTTAAACGATGTTGTCAGTATATATACTAAATAGTCAAGGGGTACTGCAAACGTTAAAAGATAGTAGACGTTATAAATTTACACACAAAACAGACAAGGACTATAAACAAAATTCAAAAAAATTATTCTAATTTATCGAAGAATATTGATAGGAAGAATACTGCATTATTTTTTTAAAACTGATTTTATGCTATGGGTTGTGAATGTCTTCTGAAAATATTCAAATAATATACCTTTGATATAAATAACAAGTATCTCTTAATATTAATAGTAAATAGTGAAATAAAATCAAAACGTCAATTTAACACATCGAAAGGCATACAAAATATTCACAACACAAGTTAAAATATTAAAACGGAATTTAAATACTTAATTTATTGTTTTCGTAATCGCTTTTCTTCAACATTCTTCCATCGTAAACAATAATAGCATATTCCACATTTCTTACTGGTTTTGCTATGAATTTTTTTCATTACCTACGTTTAACGTGTTTACTGCATCGTAATTAACGCTAGTAATGAATCTCGGGTGCCGTTAAATCGATAAATTCAAAATCTCTTTTCCCGTTCAATGTACATATGTATTGTGCATTTATGTGTGAGTGTACTTGAAATTTATCTAATATAAAACACACTTTAATTTTATGTAGATAAATGAATGGTTAGTAATTAATTATCCTTAAATACAGTTGGCAGTGCACTTTTTGTTTTATAAAAGGTACATATGTATAGTCACATTTCAGTGAGGTGGTAGAAGTTCCTGCTTTGTAGGGTTGTGATATTACAAAAAATGTGAATAAACTTGATATTGCTACGGATTTATTGGTTGGGTTGGGTTAACAAAATATATTACTTTCAGATATGTCTCTACAGAATAAGTATTCTAAGTGAAAATTTCAATAACGATGTTTCGGAAGTTAATTATTTAGAATTTTTGTGCCTCATGTGCAGGAAAGTGTGGTAAATACAAACTTTTGTTAAATCTCTGCAACTTCTTATTGGAAATAGCTTTACTTTCTAATTGGGTAGGTATCATACTCTCGTACGAATTGTATTTACAGCTCAGTATTGTTTGGTGACTGAAAATACAATTGACTAAGGCTTCGTACATTATCACATATTCCGAATCCATTAATAATTTCCATAAAACCCTGAAGTCAAATGAGCTTTCTAATAATTGGGTCACTTAGTATTTTAAATTTCTATCTGCTAGAAGCACAAAATCTCATGGGATAGTATGTATAAATCGGTAATAGTTCTTATAGTTTTGGCTAATGAGTTATCTGTAGCTATGGGTATGAGTATACCAAATTGCAATCCATAAGTAAACCCACTGACATACGTTTAAGGAAAACATCGCGAGGAAACCTGGACTTATAATTTCAAAAAATTATAAGTTTGAAATCACCAACCCGTCTTGAGCAAGCGTGGTGATTAACGCTCAAACCTTCTCCATGAGAGAAAGAGGCCTTTGCTCGGCAGTGGGCTCCGATAGCCTCCAAAAATGTAAACTATGTAATTGTGTCTTCCAAAAGTCTTGATAAAATATGTCTCGTTAGGAGTCAAGTGCTGGGTTGCACCATATGCGTTGATGGGCACCGCGGGAGGAGGGAGGGCAGCGCGGGCGCTCCGGCTTCTGCTTCTGCTAGTGCTGGCGCTGGCAGCTGTCGAGTACCTGTTCGGCTCCATCCTGGACGCATCACCTCTCAGGACCTATCTGTATGCACCGATGCACAACGTCACGCCGACTATCAAGTAAGTATAAAGAAATATAACGAAGAAAAATACATTGAACGTAAATCATATTTTATTCATATGGAAATTATTGAAATGAAAAGAAAAATGCAATGGATTTAGTTATATATTAACAATAAATCCATGTGTTTTTAATAGAACCAAAAAATAATCTGGGGTAATCACATAAACCTGGATTATACTGTCAAAACTGATCATATTAACTGACCAGGTCAAAAAAATTGTTACAGAAACGATAAACTGATTATGACTAAAAAACTTCTGATACAAGGAACGGAATCAATAACAAACTACACTCACACAAACAGTTCAAATAAGAATCCAGCCAAGGAAACATTTAATATGACGAAACCCAATCTAACTGACGACACCAGCACGCCGCTCTTAATCACCAAGATCATGGAAAGCATAAAGAATTTGGTGACCACAGAAGAAGACTTCAGAGATGAGCCATCGTTACCGCTGTGTGATGAAATGCCGCCAGATCTAGGTAAGATTTTGTCTGCTATATAAACTTGCACTGATAGAAGAGATCTAATTTTTTTGCTCGTGGTTAAAATATGGTCCAACTGTTCGTCTAACAACGTATTTTTAAATGTGTTTATTTGAATCATACTTAGTCTGAGATAACATTCATAATTGAGATAAAATGAAAATCTCAATGACACGAACAGGTTTCGAACCAATTCAGCTACCGTTCTTATATGACGTATAAATTTTAAGAAATTACTTAATTAATTTCACTTAATTTATAAATAACTGGAACGCTATATCCAGGAGAAAACAGTACGAACCCTGTAGTTGTCATTAAATTTTCATTCTGTACTTTCTATTTGTACTATGTTATTTTATTTGAATTTTTATAGTATTTTCTCCAAATATTGAATCTTTCTAATAATATAATATCTACGATTTTCACGAATATTCATTGAAATAACTATTATGAATGACAGAATTACACATCTCGTCTGCCCGTGATGTATTACTGCAAAGTAACCGAAACGTCTAGAGTATATTTTGAAAATAATTATAAACTCCTAGTTAATCCAAAAAATATTAGTTTTATTTCAACTACAATGTTTTAGTACCTTGCAGGCTTCTTTAAATATTCTAGCTTGGGCGTATGTTGTTATTAAATAATTATAAACGCGTAATCGATAAGAAAAATATTAGTTTTATTTCAACAACAATATGTTTTAGTACATTGCTGGCTTATTTCAATATTCTAACAAATAGAATATAACTCTTACGCTTAATTTTGCTGACTAGGTCCCATATCTGTGAACAAGACTGAGATTGAATTAGATTGGGTGGAGAAGAAGTACCCCGAGGTCAGGACTGGTGGAATATATTCTTCCTCCAACTGCACAGCACGACATAGAGTTGCTATCATAGTACCCTACAGGTAAGTTATTATCTATAGGAATTTATACACGATATTAATACGTGAAGTGAAAACTCCGTATCCCTTTTTTAAGAGAAATTATGAACGTGAAATTCAACACAGTCCAAAAGTTATATGGAGAATGACAGAAAGCTATTTGATTATATAAAAATTGCAAGTATTTTAGTTTATTACTCATTGTAATTACATATGACTTTGACACACACACACACATACAATAAATCAATCCGTGAAGATTCTTCAATGTGTTCGTACCACTGAACGTCAAACATAATAACATTTCTATTATATTATTGACCTTGAAATAATCGATTAATTTTGCTCGAGCATGGACCGTTTGACAATATTAAGTATTATTTTATTTTCATAACATTGCGTAATATTAAATAAATTTATTGGAAATACATATAAATTTAACGTAAAGAAAGTTAAATCAAATCGTTGTAGAAATGGTTCAAAGGAAAGGAATATTTGTCAAATTCGTTTACAGATCCTATTCAGTCCCCACACGAGTGGACAAGGGCGTTATTTATGTTATCAGCTAAGCAAGCAATCCTTGTTTACGTCCAAAATACCTTCGACCTGCGACTTTTTCCCTTCGCAAACAGATTTAACGGATTCCGGGCGTCGTAAATTAAACCTCTGTCATAATTTTTCATGATAAAACATAATATATGATGTAAAGGTTCTACTTTTAGGTTTATACTTGATTATATTTTTTTGGTTACAGAGACCGTCAACAGCATCTAGCGATATTCCTGAACCACATGCATCCGTTCCTGATGAAACAGCAGATAGAATATGGAATATATATAATTGAACAGGAAGGTCTGTTATTTTATTAATTTTTTGCCTTAAAAATACTTAAGCTTATGTATTAAAGTTAACTTCTATTTACTAAAAAAATATATATGTATATCTAGAGATCAATATTTCATTAATATACGCGTCTTTTAGCAATCGCTTACTTGTCAAAAGCAATACGATTGTACTGGAATTTATTCCTCAATAGGGATTTATATGCCACTTGAGATTGATAAAGTACGGTCTTGAGACGATTTCTCCTTATCTAATAAATATAAATGTTCCAATAAATTCAGACGTATAAACATATGGTCCTTTTACCAGTCACCCCGTCTCAGTAACTTGAACGAACAGCTCTTTGTTCTGGATTTTATTCATATTCGGTTATTTGATATTTTTAGTTCGACGAATTTTATTAAATTATAAAATCGTATGAAAATATTATTATGATAAACGTACAGAGCGAAACCTTACATCCTTATTATGATGGGATGTTCTAATTCCCTTAGCATTTCTATAAAGTGTTATTATTATTTTTATATTTAAAATAGATGATACAAAATTTAATCAAACTCGAATTGTTTTACGTAACTATCACTTATTCTACATATTATTTCCTTACTAATCTTTCTTTTTTCTCATATACACAAACCAAATCTATTGTTTCTATAATATTAGTACTATATCTGCAATGAAAACACAATCTTTTTTCATATATAACAATATTTTTTTATAGGTACAAGTGAATTCAATCGCGCGAAGCTGATGAACGTAGGTTTCGTTGAGAGTCAAAGACAGAGGTCGTGGCAGTGCTTCATCTTCCACGACATAGACCTGCTGCCTTTAGACTCTCGCAACATGTACACTTGTCCCAAACAACCGCGACACATGTCCGCCTCTATAGACAAACTCAACTTTAGGTAAGAGAAACAAAACTTCTACTCTATTTATTTATTTATAATAAGTACACTAACAACATACATATTAAAAGTTTTCAGTTAAGGAAGGTGACTATATTATAACAACAAATATGTACGTCAATGATAAAGTGTACATAACATTTACCAAATACAATCAAAAAAGTATACACACTAATTTAGATATAAAACAAAAATACTACGTAAAAATAACAAAATTAAAAAATAATAATTATATAAACTTAGGAAAACTATGAATTAGAAGAAAGATAGTTAATGATTTTCTCTACTACTCTATTGCCATAATGAGATCTTAGATTTTCGCGAGTATTCATTTAAATGAAACTAATATATTCGGATTATATCGCATTTTTTATTATTTTAAACTGCATACTAACGATGTTTCGGTTACTTTGAAGCAACCGTGATCGGGCAGACGAGATGTGAAGGTCTGTCAGTTGGTCTTGTTATTCACATATACAGCTAACAATTTTTAAAAATAATAACGTACGTACGATAGTAATCCGAAAAGAATGGTTTCATTTACTCTATTACCAATCTCTTATTACTTCTCTTTCTTTCAAAAATGTTTATGATCTTTTTGAATTCCTTATTACTTTTTTTGCTGATCTTATACTGATAAATATACCTGAATATAACATCTGTATATAACGGAAGATATCAAAACTCGAATAATCTATTAAAACGGAAAAGAGTCCCAATCTTCTCCGACATCTAATTATATGTTTGTCCCTCTTTTACCCTCTCATATTCCTACAATATATGTAATTCAAGTGATATATTATGTGAATGTTTTTCAGGTTACCATATGAAGATATCTTCGGAGGCGTTTCAGCCATGACGCTGGAACAGTTCACGAAAGTGAACGGCTTCTCCAACAAGTATTGGGGCTGGGGTGGCGAAGATGACGATATGTTTTATAGGTGATTACATAAGAATCATATAAATCATTGGTTACACATAATTTTGCTCAGAACGCGTCATGGCTTTTCTTTTTTGCTAGAACGCGTTGTGATCTTATAGCATACTAGCTTTCCGCCCGCTGCTTCGCCCGCGTGGAGTTCGCTTATATCGCGTTTCCAAGAGAACCTTTCAAAAGTCTGGGATACAAACTATCCTATGTTCTTTGTCAAGATCAACTCCATCTCTACCAAATTTCATTAAAACCAGTTCAGTGGTTTAGGCGTGAAAGCGTAACAGACAGACAGACAGAGTTACTTTCGCATTTATAATATTAGTAGGGATAAGAAAATAGAATTTCGCTCTTTGGTCTTTCTATGAATCATAACGCGTCGTGAGCGTTTTCATTGAAGCCATAACACGAATTTTGTGATGTTGATTTTTTACTGTGACCAGAACTTGTTGGCAATTTCTTTGCTGAATATTTTCGATCTTTAAGCGTGACATATATATATATATTGGATATTATTATTACGATGCTTCAAAACAAAAACATACAGTTTATCATTGTATTCAAGAACTAAATTAATTATATTATTGTCAAATGAGGTAGTAACATATTTCGTAGATGTAACCAGATTTGTTTGTTTTCAAGAAAAGTTTTCTTACTGAAATTATATATATATTTTTTAATTTCAGATTGAAAAAAATGAATTACCACATAGCGAGGTATAAAATGTCAATTGCAAGATACGCCATGTTAGATCATAAGAAATCAGCACCTAATCCTAAGAGGTATGTGATGAAGGATTTTATTATATTATACGACAAACTTAATAAATAAAAAAAAATTATTGTCCGTGGAATGCCTCCACGTGGAAATGAAAACAGAAACGGAATGGAAATAGATTTTTAATGAATTTTCAGTATTTCTATTAGACAAACTTTAATAACATTACTTACAAGTACAAGTCACAATTGATTGCAAACATGCGTTTGAAAACCAAGCACTCCTCTAACTCTGTCTCTTTTTATCCTCTTGTAAAACGTTTAACGCAACCTTATTTTAACTTAAGAAGTTTCACTTCAATAATATACAAATTGACCGAACCTTTTATTCTCCCCCCTTAACGTTAAACGTTTAACGCAACCTTGTTAAAAGTCACATAAGAAGTTTCACTTTACAAGTTAACCTATTCTGTAATATTCCAGATATCAACTGTTATCACAGACGAGCAAAACATTCCAGAAGGACGGTCTATCGACGCTGGAATACGAAATAATCAAAGTGACGGCCAACCATTTGTACACGCACATACTAGTTAATATAGACGAGCGTAGCTGACGGACATATCTCGCCAAACTACTGTTTGGCGACCGGTAACACCTAAATATATTTGACGTAACTGCGGATTTAGCGTTTATTATCTGTGGTAATTATATAGTCTATGGTCAGCTGACATTGTCATATAGTAGTATAATCTGTGGTTATTTAAAATTGTCTTATTTTTCAAAGTATTATTAAAACACGTTGAATCAGTTTCAATTCTTAGCGACAGCTAACTATATTTTCTAACACACTCAAGAATAAAAAATTTTAGTTTTACTTATAACACTACTACATTGAGCTGTAATTAAATTTCGTTTGATGTATTAAATAATTTCAACAAGTATAATCTATGGTCTCTAAGCATTATAATATTACGATACCTAAATATCTAGTTAATTTGACCAAATATGAGAAGTGACACATTTGAGGCAAACGATAGTACTATAATTTATTATTATTTATCAACTCATGATAACTATTTTGATTAACTATTTAAAGGGTTTTGTGATTTATTTTAACCGGCGCTAATTACGCTCACTGGCAACTGACAGATGCATGATTTAATTGACAAGGCGGGAAATATGACAAGTGAAAATTATAATCGGAGATATAAGACAAGTAATAATTTCCACAGATTATACATACAGCATCATCTAGAATCACAACAAAGAGACATATATTAAATGATTTGATAAACGAAAAATATGTTAAGAAATTACTATTAACTAAAACAATCTAGATAATCAAGTGTATACATACATAAAAACATTATTAGAGAGAATATCCAAAATACTGAAGACTTCAATTATTAAGCCTAACTATTGTATTTATGACAAATAGTTCTTGTTTAATAAAAAAAACATGCTTTATAGTTTAATCCTTTGTCTGCTTATATCTGATGTAAGAATATTAAAAATATATATATTATGGTATTTTTATGAGTTTATTTGCAATTTTTATCCGCAGTTAAGTCAATGTTGTAAATTGTGGTTACTTAGTACTAAGACATCTGCAGTCAAAATGGTGTTGCCATCATAAAATCATTTTGTTTGAATTATTTTTTATTGCTTTTATATTGATATATGTATAATATAAGTGAAGCGTTACCTTTTATATCATAGATAGGAATCATGTAAACGTAGTGTAATGATTAAGGAAAAAAACATTTTTTATTATTATTATTTTTCTAATATGTATTTTGTTTCTAGAAAAAACTAGTCTCAGCTGTGTTTTATTGATGTAGATTTAATTTGTATGTAAATATTAATATAACAAAATAGGAAGACAATAAATTATAAATTAATACCAACTTTTTATATATCCCTCTCAGAGATGCCGAAAAAAATTATAATATGAATAAAAATAAAAAACCGAAAAAAAAATTATAATATGTAAAAATATGACAATATGAATGAACAATTAGCTAGACACGGATCAGAATTGAAATTAATTTTTAGTAATTTAATATAAAGCATTAAAAATGTATTGAAATTATTAAAATATTTAATCATTCATTAGTTAATTATTAATTATTCCGGCCTAAATTATGTACCTTCGCAAAAAATTCCTGTATTCAAAAACCTACCTTATACATATAAATATACATTAAATACTAATGTAGACAATCACATAGTTTTTTATTTGTAATAAATATACATATTATTTTTTATTATCAAATAATTAATAATTAAAAGAAGTGGAGTTGAATACTATTGTAATGTACTTACTTATCAAATGTACATAGCTTGTAGTTTTAGATTTGTCAGATACACTTAATAGACCTGTATAATATTTTTGATCCCGTAATGCTTATACATAAATTACTTTATTATGTATGGTGCAAGATATTGAATTTTATTTTTGAGATAATTTTTTAGTATATATTTTATTTTTTAATTAAGCTTTTTTTCTTTTTGCTAATCAAATAATCACAATCTACATTGTCAGAATTAAGTTTTTTTCCATGCTTTTATGTTGTTTTCTTTTATTTAATACTATATTTTTCTAATTATAAGTTTATTATATTAATTTGATATAAAAGCAGTCGGCCTAGAGCTTTTTATATTAAAGACTTTTATACATATGTAAATGTATTGGAATGAAGAGAAATCCTTAAAAAATAACTTCTTATGAAGAGAAAATTGAAAATTCTGTGATTATTCACAAAAAAATTGTAATCCAGTTTATTTGCTTAAAATCATTTCTTAATAGACAAATATCGAATTATTTTAACTTCATAATGGAACTTAAATTACTTCTTGTTGTGTAAAATTGTTTTGTGATACATTTTTAATATTAAGTGTACAGAATTTGCTAAGCCATCCAAATGTAACGTAGTAAGCTTTAGACATTTTATTTAACAGCGCATTGTTTTCATGAGCCAAGTATTGGTTTTATATATAAATAAATTCGTTTGTTTCAAAGAAATTATGTGATGCCTTTTATTACCTTCCTTATATTCCCAGATAATTATGAATATATAATTTTAGGATAAAAAATATTTTTAGTAACAAAGAATTTATAATATTACCGTCGCAGAAGGTTAAACAATCAATCATAGTTAATAACTTCAAAATAAAAATATAAAAAAAATTACATAAGTTACAAATGGAATTATTAAATTCAGAGTAATTCAGAGGCAACTATCTATGAGTTGAGATTTACGGAAATATAAAATGCAAGATTCATGTTAATCAGATGTATAGAAACCGGTGAAAACCGTGTTCAAAGATTCCGTTACATACAGACATACAGCCCAAGCTAATCTAAGCATGTTAAAAACTGTATATTTGAACCTGATTTGAACAGACTAAATGAACTTTAATGAAAAAAATTGGTTGTTAGTAAAGTAGGTTTACGATCGAGATGTTTACGTGATAACGTCTTATCTATACTAATATTATAAAGCTGAAGAGTTTGTTTGTTTGTTTGTTTGAAAGTGCTAATCTCCGAAACTACTGGTTCGAATTGAATAATTCTTTTTGTGTTGGATAGTACAGTTATCGACGAAGGCTGTGGGCTATATAAGATCACGCTACGACCAATAGGAGCAAAGATATAGTGGTAAATGTGTAAAAAACGGGAGAAATTATTTCATCTTTGAAGCCTTCCGTTGCGTGCACCGTGAAAACGGTTCAAGATACACAAAAAATATGTGTTAAAGAATAATAGCTCTTTTAATGATCTAAAAAACAGTCCGCCACAGTATATGTCTATCTTTTAAGATTAACTCACAAAAACCGTTTTTATGGTACCTAATTTGGTCGAAATAATTTGTTTAAGTTGTATCAACATAACAATATTAATATTTATTCAAATAAACAAATAAATATACAAACATACTTTTATACATTTATACAAACATTTATGCATACATACATAACATACAATACGATCAGTTACAATCTTCACGTAAATTTATCTGTTTCCAATCTGGGTAATTCTGTTCAGGATAGGACGATGATAGGAAAAGTAAGAAATAAAAGGACTTCACTTGCACTTCACATTTTGTTTCACTGTTAAACATTCAACGAAAACTTAACCGCACGAGAAAATCTCCATTCGTTTGTATGCCGCTAGAGTGAGAGAGACGGAAGATCGGTCCACTCACTCGAACGCTATGCCTGCCTCCGCTCGTGAGGATTCCGCGTGACAAGTTTCAAAGAATGACTGGCAGTGCTCGAGATGAGACAAGAGATCGGTCCGTCTCTCTCTCGTTATACCTGCGATCGCGCTCGTGAGGTTTTGGTGTGACACAAGTTTCTGAACATGTCACCCGACTAAAACGATTTTAAAGACGTTATCACGTCAAAAATAAATAGTATTCCTATCTTTGGACAAAACAAAGATATATTGTAGACATATCAAGCATATTATAAACGTGTGCGTTAAAATCAAATCAGGCTAAACTGTATCATTTAACGGTTGCCATGGCGAGGGTAAATTGAATAAAACTGACGCGTTCATTCCACCACCTTATCGCTCACATAACACATGGGATTTTGACCAACAGATAACGGACATATAAAATTATTAGTAATATAATTCGTAGGAAAAATATTCATGCAAATTTTGCCAAAAAAAATTAAGAAGGAAGGAAATTCCTTTAAGAGGACTTTTACATGATTTTCATAATATTAGGTGTACAACTTTGCTTCCGCCGTTTTTTTCCGAAATTCGAGGCTTTATTGTAAAAAACTGGTTATACATTTATGATTCAAAGTGTTGTCCATCGCTGGCCACTACTTTCTCCCATCTTTCGGGCAGCGTACGAATCCCGCGTTGAAAAAACTGGTCATCTTTTGAAGCGGTCCACGAATAGATCCAATTTTTAACTTCTTCATAAGACCGGAAGTGCTGGTCAGCCAGGCCGTGTGCCATTGATCGAAACAAGTGATAGTCCGAGGGAGCAACGTCTGGAGAATACAGCGGGTGGGGTAGGACTTCCGATTTCAACGTTTCGAAGTATGTCTTGACCACTTTCGCAACACGGGGTCGAGCATTGTCGTGCTGTAAAATCACTTTATCATGTATCGCGTTGTATTGCGGCTGTTTGTCTTTCAATGCTCGGCTCAAACGCATTAATTGCGTTCGATAACTATCGCCTGTGATTGTTTCAGTCGGTTTTAACAACTCATAATGCACAACGCCGAGCTGGTCCCACCAAATACAGAGCATACCTCGGAATCGTGAATATTCGGCTTGGCTGTCGACGTGCAAGCATGGCCGTGATATCCCCATAATTTTCTAAGCTTGGGATTATCGTAATGAACCCATTTTTCGTCCCCAGTCACAATGCGATGCAGAAATCCTTTCCGTCTTTGCTTTGCAAGCAGCTATTCACAAGCAAACAAACGCCGTTCAACATCTCTCGGCTGCAACTCGTACGGCACCCAATTTCCTTGTTTCTGAATCATTCCCATGACTTTCAGGCATTTTGAAGTGGCTTGTTACATCACTCCTAATGATCCTGCCAATTATTGTTGTGTTTGACACGAGTCTTGATCAAGTAATGCCACCAATTCTGCATCTTCGAAAACCTTCTCTCTTCCACCGCCATGCCGGTCTTCGACGACAAAATCACCGTTCTTGAAGCGTTGAAACCACTCTCGGCACTTTCTTTCACTAATAGCAGCCTCACCATAGGTATTTGAGAGCATTCAATGAGCCTCAGCCGCAGATTTCTTCATATTAAAGCAGAAAATTAAAACCTCCCGCAAATGACGAGAATTTGGCTCGTAAGCTGACATGTTTAATCGAGAATAACTTTATGATGCAGACACAAATCGACTAATATTTCGATGGCGTTATGTTTACAAATGCCTAAGCTTATTGTATGACATCAACGACCTATTTATTTCGACTACCACTTACCGCTACAACCATCTATTGCAAAACGGCGGAAGCAAAGTTGTACACCTATGTAGATCAGATAGTCAGATAGATGTTATCTGCCGAATATAGGCGGTAACTGGAGAATAAGTTATCTGCTGCTTCAAGGGATAGTTAAAATTTATCTGTGGATTTATCTAGCTGTCTTCTATGAAATTTTGAGGTTGTGTATGTTTTCTGATTTTATTTATAGTTGTGGTGTTTGTGCAGACTGAATTGTTTTTTATTGTTTAATAAATAAAATAGATCGTATTACCTCACGCACAATATAATGGATGTTTTTGAGCAAATCGACGACGCAGCGATTGAAGAGGACTGGCAGGCACTGAACTATGTATATTAACCCTGATCAGAGAAAGGACAGAGTTGTAAAAGGGAGACCTGACAATTTTAATACATGGGATGATAGGGAGTTTTGGAAAAGATTTCGCCTGAAAAAACAAACTGTAGAGCTATTAATTTTATTAATTCAGGACAAAATTGAACACAGTACAGAAAAGAAGAAGCTATTCTGCCCCAGGCAGCCTCCTTAGTTTTATTGGTCACGGCGTCCGTTTTTTTGTTTTCAATTATATGCTTATATTTGGTAACCAATTCCGTCAATAATTGCGTTTCGACTTTATCGAAATTGCTTGCACGCTCACGCTTTTTATCCAATTTTATTTATAATAGAACCAAATTAATTAAATGAAACCAAACCAAATGCCAATCATAACTTGTTTCAGTCTAACATCACGATGACTGCATACGTGCATCTCGCTCGTACGTAGTTGAAATTAGCGACAGATATTCATAGACAACAGATAGATAGCTATTCTTTAGTTAAAAAACGATTGATAAATTGAAAATATTTATTCCCTTGTTAAACAGCCAGTTATTTTTACACGTCAGTTAGTTATCTAGGGACTTATCAAAGGATTGAAAAATCGGGCCAAAGAGAATTAAATTTTTAATACTTTTTTAACTGTGTATTTATTTTGGGTAAGCTGCTTATTTAAAAATAAAGCTACAATATACCCATAACAATATTAAAGACAGATCCCGATTTGGTTATCCGGAGATAGATTTATTAAATATCTAGTATGAGTCATGTCATGAACAGACAAGAAACTTGTCATCATTCCATGGATAACCGTGCGGGTGCAGGGTCTATAACGTTACAGGCACAGGAGCTTCAACAATGCCTGGGACTTGCGACCCAGGTGTAGGCTTAAGGGGCCCCTATCCAACGCGCGTTAAACGCTTACCTCCACCGTCCAAGCTCCTTCTCTGCCATATTTGAAAATGTACTATACTAATATTACTTAAGAGAACTAAAATACTATTGAAATGTGATGAAAATAAATGAATACATCACCAGAAAAAGATACGAGTCAAGTCAGCGGTTGTCATAATATAAAGAAAAATCAGTTCAACTTTTTATAGTAAATATGATCGACATTTTAAATGCACTAAGTTTTCTAAAAATATTTAGTTACTTCGTTAGTAGAGATGAATCATATTCTTAAGGAACTTTTATAAGTAAGAGTATCAATTAAACGGATTAACAGAAATAAAAAAAAACTATATTTTTATGTTTGTATTTGTAAAGTCGAAATTGGACATTCTGAATCATTTGAGGACATCAAAAAACTAAAACCTTTAAGATCACAATTCACATTACATTTGGATTAATAAAAAAAAGTAGAAACAAAATATTTGATGACAAATTACAATTTGAATATGTATCGTTGATTAATTTGGGATAGGGAATATTGGTCGATGGCAACACTTAAGGACGTGCGTAATCCCACAGCTAGCTGGCGTGGTAAACCCATTAGTGGTGGTGTTTCTCGCCATGAAATACGCCGTAAATACCATGGGGGCGCCGGTGAGCAACTTAATGTCAGGTCTAGCCAATTGCAATCAGGTTCTTTGACCCTGGGAAAGAAGTAAAGAATCTATGATATCTTACGTGTAGTTTTACCTTCTCAAATTTAATTTCAAATGGAGACATTATCCTCCATATTTATTGAATGAATAGAAAGTTGTCTATAAAATGTATTAAATATTATTTTGATTTTTGAAAAACCAATCGATGTTATAACTGTTTCTTTTTTAAAAAATAGCTCTTGAAGGTAAATATACCAATAGGTAAAGGGGTTTTGACTTTATCTATTTAGTTTGATGTACTATGAAATATAAGACTTTAAAATTGTTTTGAAAAAATGTTAAGTCAAATATGTTTGTTATTTTACAACACGTAAATGAATCGCAATTGATGCAAACGCGACATTCAAAAGCTGAGGTTTTAATATTATTCCCATATCTATATACATCAAATATCTATGTAGGTACATAGGTATAAGGTCAATAAATTAGCACTATAAATATATATGTATATACATGTATATACATATATATTTCTAGTGCTATATTTAGTGACTAAACAACTACCTTTCCACTTCCTTCTCTTTGTCTTTAGGTTTTTTTGATTTCCGAGTCGGTGATGTCGCTCTGTATCTGTAATATTTCGGCATTTTCCTGATAAAATTTTGTTAAAAAAAATGTTATATTTGCTTCCTAAAATGTCATTTCAATTGACGCCAAAGGGACGTGAAAATCTTTATACGTAGTGTTTTTTTTCTCGGGTACTTTTATTCTTTGCTAGTTGCCAGGTCTCGTCCATGTTGAGTGAAATCTTAAAATACAAAACTACACATTGAACAGAAAATAAAAATAATAAATTGTTAACGTTCAGAAATATTTTTTTTATCGTGTAACTATAGAATAAGTGTAGACAAAACAAAAATTACATTTCAAAATTTCCTTTTAAATCGTGAACACTCATGTAAGATTTTGTCACATATTTTAAGAAGCTGAAATTAATTTTTGGAAGACAGAATAAAATTTTCAATATGCATCCATAATTTGAATGACTTTAAAATATTAATTACAAGCTTAGGATTCGTCCGAACGGAATAGTATTGTTTTATTGTCAATTCTAATGAATAATACGAAAATGTCAATATTAAAAGTAGTTTAAGTTTTTTTATTTTTACAGGAAAGGACCAGTCATTGCAGAAATTAGCCCAAATAAAGACACAAAAATTTTAATGTTGATATAATATGTGAAGTGTATACATCTATTAACATTATTTTGATATTTCAAACAGAAATTAATAATTAATTTTTCATTAGATATATATTTAATCCGATTATATATTTATTCACCGATTTCGATTCAAATTTTTCTTTTAACATTATGTCACCTATTAAATTTCTTTTACAGTTTTTAATCTCAAATTATTACGATCAGCCATTTTAAAATTCTTCATCAAAGAATTAGATCATGGTATCTTTATACAAAACTAATATTTTTTTTAAGACATAAATAATAATTTTTTTGCTTTCCACATAATTATCAGTGAATATAGTTTTATCGAAAAAATAACTGGAATTTATTATAAGCAATGCAAATATTTTTCATACAACTATGATATAAAGAAAAAATAATATACATCCTTCATAACTGTCACAATTGTTAAAGTCTAAATGTATCAATAATGCTTACAACTTTTCGAAAATTGTTGATTATATTGTTTGCAATAGTTTTGATCAATATTGTTTTACACACTTTATTTCCATTTTATCAAATATTTCATACACAAAAGAAGAAAGCGTCGCGGTGAGTAAAAAACTTGGATCTTGATAATACATTTAGAACGTGTCCTCTTCTTCTTCTACCTGGCAATTTCTCAGCTTTTAGCCAGGGTCTGCCTTACATGTTGTAAATAGTTTTGGCTAATTGTTTTTACGACCGGCCGCCTGCCTCACATCAACCCTCTTTGGGAATGCATTAATCAGTGATATTTAAATACTCTTAGAAAGTACATATGACTCGGAAAAATCATATTGATACTTGCCAGGATTGAACCCGCGCCCTCATGCATGAGAGGCAGGCTTTATTAACCACTCGGCCACCACTGACTTACACTTAGAATGTTTCATTTTAACGATTAAATCTTATCTATTTTAAAAATTACAGAAAATATAAGTATGGCCGTCCAGTAACAATTGATATCGCAGAAAATATAAAAACTCTTTACAATTTAATAATTTGCTGCGGAACAGAAAAGCAGCAGATAGATGAAGTGGATTTTAAAAAGGAAGATAACAATGTCAACAAGTTGAAGGCATTGGATTTTAAGTATGAATATTATTTTGAGACAGACGTCGACAAATTTTTTGACCGGCCATGTCCATTCATAGCTCCTGGCCTTGGTAAATACATAAAGAAATATGAAGTTCTATTCATCGACTTGTACTAATGGACATGCGGTACACGTATAATCTGCAGTAATTTTTTGGTTTAAAAAAAAGTGAGAGAGATGGCCTATGCTTCGGTCTAGCGCTATCTCTTTCCTCATAGATGATTGGCGATCAGTTTTCATGATAAGCACGGCATATAAATTTGAGAGAGATAAAGATAGACCGAAACTTCGTTTTATCTCTTTCTTTCGGCGTGCCACAATTCTCATCTCTAAGGCATGTCCGTTACTATAAGTCGATGGTTCTATAGTTCTAAGTATCTATGATTAGTATATCTGTACATTATGCTTTAGGCCCCGTGGCTGAAGACAGATCTTTTAAGAGTCTCACGCTTATGGAAGACGTACACTTGCGAATACAACCCGGTGGAATCCACACACCAATTGAATGTATTGCGATTCAAAAAGTCGCAATTGTCATACCGATTGACGAAACGATACCGTTAGTTAATTCTATACCTAACTTTTTTTTAAATTACCGTATGTAAAAGTTATGCAATTTTATGGTTTACTTTTTTGTAAACAAACAGATAATATTTTTGCTATTTTCGTGTCAATGAAATGAAAGATAAAGATAATAAATTAACAATATTTATACTGCACAAGTCAAACACGGCAGAGCTGTGCTTACATTCGTTCCAAAACTTAATAACCGCAAAAAGTGTTGTATTTATAGTTTTTGGTTTAAGGAATATTCAATCAATAATCAAAATATACCTTCTTATTTAAATACATTTACGTAATTTATAGTAAAGAAATATCCTTTAAAAGATATTTATGAATTTTAAACATTGTATTATTTATTAAAACATTTTATTAGCAAGAGAAAGTTCAATAATAGGCCTATTCTCATATAGAAATGTCACGGAACCCTAATAGTTTTCCTGATAAGGGTCCTGACAATTCTGCTATAAATAAATCAACTTATCGATTTACTTGAAAAAACATTCTTGATTTCAGAAATTCAAAGCAAACCACCTACAGCTTCTTATATTACATTCACCCTTTCCTAATGAAACAGCAACTGGAGTATCAAATCTTTATTATAATTAAACGTTAGTATCAAATCTTCATTCCTATACATTTAAATGTCAAAAGCATCTTCATCAGTTATTTTCAAATGATTAATTGTATTAATAACTTTTAATTTCATCAGCAAACGCTTCTGTGCCGTATAGGCGTGGCGAACTTTATAACATCGGTTTTAAAGAAGCTCAAGCGTATCGCAACGAAGGTTGGGACTGCGTCATATTCCATGAAAGTCACCTCATACCTCTGGACACTCGTAATTTGTACCGATGCAGTCACCGGCCAAGAATGCTCATAGCTGATTTCCAAAAACCGATCAAGAAAGTTATTTAACCCATTTAAGTACAAAATAGGTCGATTTTTTGAAACGTATTAAATTTAAATGTATTTAATGTTGTATATCTATGGAACTTAGTGACAAATTTTTCTCAAAATTCTTTGTTTGCATATGAAAGGGAGCGGTAAAGTGAGGTACAAATTATATAAGAATGCAAAGGTTTAAAATATATAAACATGTTTTCCGTGCACGCTTATATCATCCAGTAATTTGTTATATTCAAAAACTGTAAGGTAACACCTAGTAGAATAATGGAAGTCTGGATTTGGCAAATAACGTAATTTAAATCGTATTCCTGTAACTGTACTTGTTAGGTATTTACATATACGTTAAAATAATCGAACACACTATAACTAATACACATTTTTTAAACGTGTCTTTTAAAACAACATTTAAGTTTTGACAGAATTCATTCATTACCTTTTTATATAGTACCTACCCTTTGACATCCAAGCTTTAGTTACAAATTAAAAGTTATTTGATAATTATTATTGAAACAGACAGTGAAAAAAATATAAGATTTATAAAAATACAGATTTGGAGGAGCCGTTGCCATGAGACCCAAACATTATATAAGAGTCAACGGATTTTCTAACAAAGCGTGGTCAAACGACGGTGACTTTATCGACATGTACAAAAGGTATATATGTTCCTAAGAGTTTATTAAATTCTGTTTTTAAACTGGTTCTATTAATTACAGTCCACACATATAACCAACATTCCGATTAGTGCATAATACCCAAAAACCTAAATTAAGTTACCCATTAAGAGATACTGTGTAAAATTTCACCTATTCCAATTATTTTATAAAAATAAAATGCTTGACAGTATAAAAACAATTTTAGATTGTTAGCAGCCAACTTTAGCATCGAAGGAAACACCCCTACAATTGGAAGCTATTACTTTTTCACAAATTTACGACAAGAAAATCATGAGTAAGTTATTTTTAACCTTTTCTACGTGTACATTTTCATTGAGAAATAAACGCAAGTTTTATTTTCAGACCAGAAAAGAATCTATCGATTCCTACTAATTCTTCAAAAGATGGTCTCTCTAATGTTATATATGAAATAAAAGATTGCATGCAATTAAAACAGCTTTATACGCTCATTAAGGTCGAAGTTGGAGATAAAAAGTAACAAGTCTTGGGGTTCAACAAAGTAATAAATTATTAATTAAAAATAATTACTTATATTTTGCTAAATTTCATTTAAATTAAATGTTATTTAACAATGTATTATGTATTTTAGAAATTACGAATGTGTCACAAAAAAAAAACATAAAAAGTCTATCGCTTCGACAGTCGTTCAGAGACATTAAATGTCAATGTCATATTTTAAGATGATAAAAAATTTGTCATGTTATGTTTACAACTAATTCGTTTTGTACGTTTATCGAAAAGGACTATAATTCTAAAAAGAACTATTGGATGATAATGGTATTAAATTTCATACATTGTTAAAATGGCGTTTTTAGAGGTAAGCCAGCATGTTCACTAGAAAGCAATTTTCACTATTAGTGATTCACATTCATTGCACTGTGTTGTTATCAAATTTTTTTCTAATTCTGGTTTATAACATCCATTCCAGTGGCGTCGTTTCACTTTCTTTGATGTTCATAACAACCTGGACAAAGGAAAGATTGCTGAATGTTTGCAGGTAACATAAAATTCAATTATAAATTCATCTATACATCATCATAATTTGCTTTATCAAACGTCCCCTTTTCTCGTCTATAGTAATTATTTGATAAAAATCCTACAATTACTTTTTCCTTGTAGATAATCTTTGAAAATATAGTCAAAAATAAAATATTTACAATAAAATATTTACAATATATTCCTGCTTTTTCCCAAAGAGGGTTGATGTCAGGCAGGCGGCCGATCGTAAAAACAATTAGCCAAAACTATTCACAACATATAAGGCAGACCCTGGCTAAAGCTGGGAAATTGCCAGGAAGAAGAAGTACATATATTCCTGCTTTATCTTGTGGTCTTCAATAATAATTCAATGTAAATATTTCAGGATACCAATGTAACAGTAGCTACAAGCGGTCACAATCATGTAATACTCTGCGATGTGACGGGATGGGCTCATCTTATATCCCGATCATGGGAGATCACATCATTCAAAGCTTACGAGATGACGGTCCTATTAGCGCAACAACTACCACATGATCCATTCTTAGTTACCATTGGTGTGAGTAACACATTTTTTATCCCAAAATACAAGCAAGTTTTACTAAGGAACAATTAATTTACACATTTGCAATAATGTTTAAATATGTGTGTCTCTTTTTTACATGCATAAACTTTTATATGTTTTTAAAATTTTAAATCATTCTAGAGAAAAAATGGCAAATATTTGTTTACCATAGTTCTATAAAGATAAGAATATCTTTTATTCTATGCTTATTTTCTAAGCTGAACATATAGCTAAATATGTAAAAAGATATCTTTGATGTGATACTAATTTCATACCTTTAGAATTTTTTTTCGAAAAAGATAGATTATAGAGTAAGAATTGCTCATCAGCAAAAGCAATTATTATTTGAGATTAATATTGTCCCTTTGGGATTATGTTGTTAGGTCAACTTTATGTTCTATATCAACAATACATAAACGAGAATAATTAATAATTTATTTAGTGCTAAAATTTGTGATAAGACTTATATGTATTTTTAAATTGACTTATATTGATAGATTCAACGCCATGTAGTGAGTAATTTTATGCCAAAAATTTTTATTGATGAATGTTTAATATCCAACTATAAAAAAGTGTCACATATTATTTGTCAATTTTTTGTATTTGTAGTATCTAATAAAACTACATACAATATGAAATTCATTATATATGTATTGAACTAAGTAGCAAGACTGAACCACAGAACATTATATAACATAATGGTCTACCTACATTATACTTGACATCATATTATTATTTCACATACTGACCAAATAATAATATATAAAAGTATGGATCATTAGTGTAAAATGTTTGATCATTTAAATGAAACTTATATTACGATTACTGTAAAGTAGCTGAAACGTCGGGAGTATGTAGTTTTTTACAAAAATAAAGTTGTGTAGTATCCCAAAAATATTAGTTTCATTTAAATGTATAAAACTCGAGAAAATCTTCGATCTCATTAAGTTTTATAATTATTCAGGAAGATGAAGCGGGTGTCACACCTTTGATTAAAGTGTGGGACTGGTCGAGAGTGGATCGTCATGGCAATCCTCAATGTGTTCGAACAGCTCGTGCAATGCCCTCGCATGGACACAATGTACAGGCTACTGCTTTGGCTGTACATGATAATAAGGTACTTAGTATATATGTATATAACATAACATAAATACTGCCTAATAAACTAAAGAAATCCTATACTTCAAAGCAACATTTGTAACTCATGCTTTACAATTGATTTATATGCATTTGTTAAAGTTTTAATGGCGATTACCGCCTTATATATATAATTGACTATTTTATTACTAATGAGTTGATTAATATTACTTTTCTAACTTTTATTCAATATCAGTTTACCAACAGATTATTATCTAAAGACAATAAGTTTATATTTTGACAATTAGTTAGGAAATTTAAAAGAAATTATGCACACATATTTATATATTCATAATAATTTTATAGAATCTCTTAGCCGTTGGTTTCCAAGATGGTTCAGTGACGTTATACCGTGGAGAGATATCAAGACAGCGGGGAGTCAAAATGAAAACATTACCAGAAACTGGATCCAGTCCTGTAACTGGACTGGCTTTCAAGTTAGTTTCTATTACTACTCTTACTATATTTTTATTACATTTATAGTAAATAAGTAAATTATAGATAATTATAGATAATTTACTTATTAGTATTTATTGGGGAAATATTTCTGATCTTGGTTATAAAATAGATTTTTGTGGGCAATTGCAACTTAACATTTTTGTTCCTATATCTGCCCATAATTTGTTTCGTCATGTATACAATAAAAATGTAATATCTAACCTATTACTATAAATAATCTATCTATGAACGCTTCTGACAACACAAGTCGCACAAAATTATTCCAATCTTCATGATAGGTCATTAAATTTTGGATACCTCAACATATAGAACATATTCTATAAGTCAGTGGTGGCCTAGTGGTTAAGGGGCCCGCCTCTCGTTGCCGAGGGCGCGGGTTCGATCCTGGCAAGCACCAATGTTTTTTTTTCGAATCATATGTACTTTCTAAGAGTATTTAGACATTACTGATTAAAAGATTGTTTTCCCAATGAGGGTTGATGTCAGGCAGGCGGCCGGTCGTAAAAACAATTAGCCAAAACTATTCACAACATGTAAGGCAGATCCTGGCAAAAGCTGGGATATTGCCAGGTAGAAGAAGATATAATATAAATTATAATTGCTTTTCAGAGGTGCTGATAAGTTGTTCGTGGTGTCTCGTTCATGTGTGATGGTGTGCTGGCTCACCAGCGATCGTTGTGTGGTTTTGGACGCTATGGGAGCGGCGCCGGGGTGTTCAGTGCTAGCTAACTCACATAGACTGACTGTCGCCGCGCCGGATGTGAGTAAAACGGCTAAACAGCAGCAATTACCATACATACGACAGCAATTATGGTCCTAATTAATTCAAATCATACCCAAAACTATTTTTCGTGTTTTTGCGAACATCTCAATGTTATTAATTTATATATCGAAGTTGGAAATACTTCAAGTGGTTAAACAGCGCAAAGAAGTACCTTCTTAGGACAAAAAAAATTAAAACATCTATAATTATAATTTACCTTCTTATTGATTTCTCAAACAAAAGACGCCCTATGGTTTTTTACTTTATTGTTTTCCAAACAAAGCCGAAATAACCGGTAAATATAATTTTTTAGGCTATTTACTGCTATACTACCGAAGGTCGTGGTCCATGCTATGCTCTTGAAGGGGAGAAAGTCAAATTGAACTGGTTCCGTAGCTATTTGGTGATAGTAACCAACGCTACCGGTTCTGCTAATACACCGAAATCCCATCACATCACTATATTGGATATTCAGAACAAATTCATAGTATTCTCTAAGACGTTCGAAGAAATTGATGCCGTCCTAACAGAATGGGGTTCCTTTTACATCCTTCAGAAGAATAAGGAGATGATATTTTTGGAGGAGAAGGATCTTCAGTCGAAGTTATTGTTGCTCTTCAAGAAGAATCTGTACGATGTAGCGATTAGGATAGCGAGCAGCCAACACTACGACGTTGAGGGATTGACTGAAATATACAAGAATTACGGAGATCATTTGTATAGTAAGGTATTTGAAGCTTACATTATTAGTATGTTTATAGTTACATAATTGAAATAATATATAAGAATTATATTTTATGAATAAAACATGATTACTTTATTAAGTAAAAATTATTTTGGTTAAGATTTGTATAGCAAAGTTTTTGGTGCCTATGACATATTGAAACTGTTTTTTTTTGGGCAGTACTTATTCGTAGTATAATACATTATATTTACTTAACCCATACATATAATTCCACGTTTACCATCACATTTATATTGATATGATAGTATATATATTTTTTAATTATCAGGGTGACCTTAAAGGGGCGATAGATCAATACGTGAAGACGATAGGCTGGTTGGAAACGTCTTACGTTATACGCAAATACCTCGAATCACGTCACCTCGAGCCTTTAGTGCAGTATTTGGAGGAACTTCATAAGAAAGGTTACGCTACCGAAGATCACACCACGTTGTTATTGACTTGTTACGTGAAGATCGATCAACACGATCAACAAGGGAAGTTGAAGGAATTCATCAATTCCAAGGATAAGGCCATAGACTTTGATGTAGATGTTGCTATTAAGGTATGAAATTTTGATATTATTTGGGAACAAAGTATGAATTATTGATATTTATTTATTTATTTAATACTTTTTTGCACACCACACTTTCAATAAAGACAATTACAAAAAAAAAACAAACTTAAAACTAACGATGTAACAAAAGGCGGCCTTATGGCTTATTAGCCATTTCTTCCAGGCAACCTGGAATTATGTGTGATGGGATGGAGTCCAAAAAAAGTCTTATCGCCATTACTAGTTTAAAGCCTAAACTTACAAATACGACTAAAGTTCAAATGAATGGGCTAATTATACTTACATACGTAGTTATTTCAGTGGGAGAATCAAAGATAAATCGATTCAAATAATTAGTACTTTGTTTTAATTTAATTTATACTGTTTTGGTGCGATCAAAACTTATGGCAAAATATTATCAAGCTAATTTATATTTTAGATGTGAATTAATTTACCTTCTTTTAGCGGATTTTTTATAATACATTTTTAGATTATGTCCTTTTCTGCGCGTTTATTCTCAAATCGCTATTTAGTTAATGCAGGTACTTTCATATATATTCGCCTAAAAAGGACTGTATTTTACCAGAAATCTAGTAATTATATGAAATTTGTCATAAACATTTTAGGTCGTCCGTCAAGTGAGTGCCACAGACGCGTTGTCACTAGCTTACAACTACAAGCGTCACGACTGGTATCTGAAAATAGTGATAGAAGATAAAAAAGATTACAAACAGGCTCTCGACTATATATACGAACTAAAGTTTGAAGACGCCGAGACGTACATGAAGAAGTACGGACACAAACTGATACAACACGTACCGGAAGATAGCACTGACTTGTTGAAATGTAAGTAGGGACATCGAAATCACTAAGCCAAAACTGTGAAGGAAAGTAGACGATTTTATATACCACTAGCTTTCCGCCCGCGTGGAGTTCGGTTATATCGCCTTTCCAAGAGAACCTTTCAAAAGTCTGGAATAAAAACTATCCTATGTTCTTTCTCAAAGTCAACTCCATCTCTTTACCAAATTTCATTAAAATCAGTTCAGTGGTTTAGACGTGAAAGCGTAACAGACACAAACAGTTACTTTCGCATTTATAATAATAGCAGGGATTTGTAACATCGTAGATACAAATTGAATATTCGATGTTGTCTAATCGAACATATTATAAAAATACAAGCCCAAAAAGTACAAAAATATTTTTCCTTAACAAGTTAATATAATCCGTGAAATTTAATTTTCAGTGCTGTGTACAGACTACAAACCTCGCAGTAAACCGTTAGTAGATGAGAGCACTTTATCCGGTAACCTCCGTGAACCAGATAGAGCCATACCTGATGATTTCATACACATGTTCCTGAGCAATTCTGAGCGTCTCATAGATTTCCTCGAGCACATGGTCGCTAAAGACACTCAATGCTCAAGTCTCGTCTACAACGCACTAATTGAGCATTACATTCATGTTTGGTGAGTTTATTTTCTATAATTCCTTATACCTTGTTTTTATATGATTACCTAAATTGGCAAAATTAACAAAGTTATTTTAGATGGCAGATTTTATTGAACTGCAAAATTATATCCATTACACAATTATCGATATTTGTAAGTGAGAAGAGGTTGAAGTGGTTCCAACAAGCGAAGTCCTTTAAAATATATCTGTATTCGTCACTTTGCTATGAAAACTGTACGATTTAATGACAAATATGGTATAAAATAATGTGGAGCAAAAAGAAATTAATCAATTAGTATGTTGAAGGATTCTTATAAATAATTATATTTGCAAAACAAATTAGTTTAATGTTAAGAACAAGAGATTTATATTAAATGCTTTTTTGCCGAATTTTGGGCCTGTATATTGCCATCACTGAAAAATATTCATTTTTATTAACTTAAAACTTATATAATTAATATTTTATATTATTTTAACAAGGGCGAAATCGTCTGAAGCAGACAAGAAGATTTACGAGCAAAAAGTTCTAGATATTATCAAAGATCCAGAAGCTAAATACGACAAAGATCAAACGCTCATTATATGCCAGATGCTGGGCTTCAAGAGTGGTATCCTACAACTGTATGAGGAAAAAAAACTGTAAGCTCTTTAAGACTGATTTCATTGAATTTTAATATCATATTATATAAGCCTAAATTATTCTACTTTTTGGACATTACAATATTTGTCGCTGATTTTTTGACGAAGAAAAACATCTTGATATTTCAGTTTAACAGTGTTCATTTCTAATAACGATTTAGATAACTAGTATTACAAGAAAAATATCGTAAAACATCGTAATTATGTATATGCTATTTATAAAATCTTACTATTATATTAGTATCGATAAAATTATAAGTTGTTCCTTTTTACTTTATTTTTTCTGTCAACAGATGGCGTGCTCAAATCTCTCTCCATCTCCGTACACCGGGCGGCACAGAGCGCGCACTAAGTGTATGTCGCCGTCGTGGAGGGAGCGCGCCACGTTTGTGGCTTGACGTACTGTGGGCACCTCCACCACCCGATTATTTGCCAGAACTGCTTAAAGTCGTAGGTATGTACACAGAAAACTACTAAAATCTACTGTTTTCCCATACATTAGTACATTTTTACGTCATTCTCACACGAACAATATATATAGAAAAAAAAATCTTCACCATTTTACTGATCACACAGCCACAATTATTATTTTATTGTATTAAATATTATTTCAGCTGCTGAAAAACTATTATCACCTATTCTTGTGATCGATTGCCTGGCGAGTACACCGACATACACACTTGGAGATGTTCGCAAGTATGCATGAATGATTATAGCATTATTATCATTAAGTTAAAAAACTAATTGCCTAAATTTAATTCATTTCCAGGTACCTAACAGACGTATTAAAATCTGAAGACGAAGTGATCACTAGAGAACAAGATCTGGCCGCGAAATACAAGAAGGAGATTGAAGAAATGAAGACTCAGATACAGAAGATACAGAACGAACCGATCACCTTCCAGAGGAGTCTGTGTGCAGCATGCAGCAGGCCGCTCGAGTTGCCCACCGTACACTTCATGTGTCAGCACTCATTTCATAAGGAGTATGTATATATTATATACTAGCTGCGCCCCGCGGTGTTACCCTCGGATTTCCGGGATGTAAAGTAGCCTATGTGTTATTCCTGGACGTCAACTTCCTGTATACAAAATTTTATCAAAATCGGTTCAGCCGTTTGAGCGTGAAGAAGTAACAAACATACACACAAACTTTCGCAATTATAATATTAGTAGGATACAGTTGTTCTAATTATTTTTGTAGTTAGATCAAGTATGAAGATCTCTAGGAAATGTGACCTGGGGGTTATTTATCAGTGAAACCATTTAAAAGTGAAACACTCATTGAGATATTTTCACTGACTTAGGAGTAAAGCTATATCGACTATAGAATAAAAAAAAATACTGGTGTCATGAGCACGAAAGATTCTCAGAATGTAAAAATGTTTCTTGATCTTCTCATAAAAATCATTGAACCGATTATGATCGAACTTTCCTGTGATGTAATATAAATATGGAACTCAAAATTCCGGTTGGTTGTTTATCGAACACTATATAGGAATCGTGTTTTCTTTAACGTCACACAATAGATGGCGCTGCAACTTGCTTACTACATCTATAATGCTTATCCTACTAATATTATAATTGCGAAAGTTTGTGTGTGTGTTTGTATGTTTGTTACTTCTTTACGCTCAAACGGCTGAAACGATTTTGATAAAATTTTGTATATAGGAAGCTGACGTCCAGGAATAACACATAGGCTACTTTACATCCCGGATATCCCGGAAATCCGCGGGTAACACCGCTTGGCGCAGCTAGTACTATAATTGAATACTCTATTTACTAAATTGAATCCAGTATATTATGACGTCACGTAAAATAGAACATACATAGATACCACTGCACCGCCATGAGCATATATATGGTATTTAAGTATATTAATTTAATGTACTATATATTGTAATGATGTGTTATAGTTGTTTCGAGACGTACTCGGAGTCGGAGCGCCAGTGCGTGGCGTGCTCCCCGGCGCTGAAGCTCGCGCCCGCGCCGCCCGCCGACCAGCTGCACTCACGACTACACGCACACAACGACCCGTGAGTATAGAGGGGTTAAGTGCGAGTAGCAAAATAGGGGGGATTCAAAGGGGTTTTTTTAGTTGGTAGAGCCTAGCCGTATTCAAGTTACTACATCTCGAACATAGGCTGGCTCGACCGGGAAAGTACCACGCTCTCACAGAAGATCGGCGTGAAGTAGCCTTTAATGGCTGCGTTTCGTCCGATGAGTGAGAGAGCCGGTTGCCTTTTACCTATTCTCTCTCTTTCCTGCTATTTCCATATTTCCCACCCCGCCTTTTCCTCAACAACTAAGGTTGGCAACGCATCCGTAACATCTGTTGCGGGGATGTCCATGGGCGACGGTCGCTACTGCCCATCTAGTGGGCCGTCTGCTCGTTTGCTATCTTTGATATAAAAAAAGGTTTTGATGGTTGCATGACCGAACGTGAATAGTTCGTTATTAATTTTGAATCATTGTAACTATACACCTGTTTAAACAATTCGATATATAACTATAATAATATTTTTATTCAGTTAGAGAGAAAAGAACGTTATTAAGAAGGTTATAAGGAATATATCGAAATACTATTAGGAAGTTTGAACACGATTCGTTTTCAATGAAAATAATTATAAAATTTTGAATGATAATGAGGTAAACATACTCATTTCCATTACGCCTACCATAAGTTTGGAGACGTACGGAGCGTTAACAGTTTTCCATACATAAATCATTGCATATAGTATTAAGTATAAACGTAGGTTATTGAATGAGGAACGAAAAACGATTCGTATGTAGTAAGACTGCGAACATGTGATAAGGGTAATGTGTTTATATCAATTTACACAGCCTGTAGTGTGATAAGATTATCTTTATTTCGATTATTCTATTGATAAATTAATATTCTTATAATTGATATCTAAGCGAGGTTATGTTTGTGTTGTGACAATGTTCCCGCCTGTGTGTTGTTGTGTTCGTTACCTGATTGATGATTCTTATAAAGAGTACTAATGATATATTACTAATGATTTTATTACGGTTTACGTGTTTACTTTGTATTACTTTTGTTTTATTCGGTTTTAAATTTCAGTAGATCTAAATACATATATGTATGTGAAATGTTTTGTGCTGCCATAAAGAAATTATTATTTAGTTTTGTTTTTTATCTAATGTTTTTACCAACTATGCATGTCGTAATACTATTTAAATTTTTACCTGTTTTTATATGATGATTATTGGAGTTAATTTTACGTTTTTTTTTTAATTCTCTTACTTAATTCATTCAACAACCTTTAAAAAATATATAAATTTACTTTTTGTCAATAAAATGTAATTTATTGTATATATAAAATTATAAAATTTAGCATAATTACTTGTGATAATAAATAATGAATTAAATGTTATCCTTTTACAGTTTCTCAGTGGTGTCTGAGTATTTCGGTCGGGGTTTGTTCAATAAGCTGACCGTGGTGACTGACGCCCCGGAGCCTGTACCTTTCAGTGTACCCTCCGCTGTACCCTCCGTACCCTCAGTTGTGAGTGTGCCCTCTGTACCTGTACAAACATACGGACCGGGAGCTGAGGCGAAGCTAAGATTACAGGAGGGACAAAGCAAACAAGGTTCATATAAAATATATTAATTTTTGTTTTTTTCTTTCAAAGTCAGTAAGACAATGCTATTAAATTGATATTTACAAGATCTGTACATTGTGACTAACCATGTATATAATTGACGACACTGGTGTTCGGAAAAACTTGAATGAATTTATGCTAACACCTTTAAATGTAAAACCATGTTACATGTACTCTTTTTGTAATTAAATAAATAAATAATAATAATAATGTATATAAATTGATTGTGTTATATTGCAATTACAGATATATTGCAATTTTTTTTTGAAATTCCGCTATACTACTCTACCAAAAAAATGATTATAAATTGATATCAAAAAATATTTATGTTTGTGTACTTGCAGTGTACGTTCAGAACGCGTTGAAGCAAATCCCTCCGAAGGGTACAGCGGTGATTCCCGTACCGGAAGGAAGGATGCGGCTTCTTGAACAGCATCAGTACAGTTCCAGCCTTGAAGCGAATATGAGCAAATTGGAACCACCAGTTCAAAGATCTCCCCACACGTCCCCAAACACCTCCCGGATGAAACTCCCCCAGAAAATATCAGCAGCAATCATTGATAGTAAAAATCCCTTCGAAACGTACGACGAATCAAAAAATCCTTTCGCAGACGAAGAAAACGATCCCACTAACCCATTCGCTGAGGACGATTATGATAAAAACTTAAATCCATTCGCATGATTCACTCTCATATATAAATTATAAATCCCTTATAATTGTATCCAAGGTATTGTTTAGTGATTAAGTTGAAATGTTTGTTTGTTAAATCTTATTTGCCAGTTTCCTAAGAGCTAACTCAATGCTCAATATATTATAATATCTTAGTCTACACGTACACGTGATACATCCAACCGCTTTATTTATTCATATTGTATATACATTCCTTGTATTCATATTAGTACATTATTATGCTTTGTAATAAAAAAAACTCTTAAAAACATGCCTTTGTTTTATTTATTTATTTACACTTTTTTGTACACCACAATTACAATCACAAACAATTATAAAATACACAAACTAATAAACTATTGGTGAAACAAAAGACGGCCTTATGGCTTATTAGCCATTTCTTCCAGACTTCCTTGGGTTAGAGGATTGTGTTTGAAAGACAGAATAGGATGGTGCAATTTTAAATACTCTTAAAATAATTACAACCTCCACACATACAAAAATAAATAACAGTAATAAATATTCAATAATATGCATACGTACCAGTGGCGGCTGTACCCTAAGTGCACTCGTGCATTGAACCACCAATTCAAAAGATTTAAAAATTACAAAATATTACTTCATCTTTATTTTTAAATTACCATTTTAATATCTATTTTCTAAACATACAAAAACGTATAAAAAATTACATTTCTAATTAATTATAGTCAAAAAGTTTGAGCGTTTTGCTAAACTCATATCGTGCGCTTCGGCGAGTGCACGAGGACTCCTAATACATCTTGTATGAGATACGAATTAATACGCCTGACGCGTGAAACAAAAGATAGTTCATAGAAATGTACCGAGTAATGAGTCAGTTCTCGAGCGCCGCACGAGCGGCCGAAGATTACCGAGAGCACCCGATGTATGACGAATTGGAATTGAAAAGAATCAAAAAACCTTTCTCCGAAATACCTTGCAGTTGCTAAATGCACTTTCTGTCCTTAGTATTACTTACATTCATACATACATACATACATGCAGTGGCGGCTGTACCTTAAGTGCGCCCGTGCGCTGAACCACCAATTCAAAATGTTTAAAAATTACAAAATATTATGTCATCTTAATTTTTAAATTACCATTTTAATATTTATTTTTTAAACATACAAAAAGGTATAAAAAATTTAATTTCCAATTATGGTCAAAAAGTTTGAGCGCTTTACTAAACTCATATCGTGCGCTCCGGCGAGTGCACGAGAACTGCTAATACATCTTGTATGAGACACGCATTAATACGCCTGGACCGTGAGACAAAAGATAGTTCATAGAAATGTACCGAGTAACGAGTCGGTTCTCGAGCGCCGCACGAAGCGGCCGAAGGTTACCGAGAGCACCCGATGTATGACGTATTGAGCCGGCCGGCAAGGGGCCGGCCGAAAGGATGGGTGCTATGATTGACATTTCGTTAATCGTTATTGGTATTGTTTCAACTTTCACTGTATGCGTGACGCGTTAATTCGTTATTGTTTATAAATATTTCCGTAATTCGTTTTAGTTTTTATTTCGTTTCTATAATAGAACTTTTATTCTGTACTGTGTATTTTATTAGTTGAAAATGAGTATAAATATTGATTATATTAAAGAAAATAACAAAAATTTTCAAAGTAAAGTGAACATAAAATTGGCCGGGCCGCCACGGCCCTTTTTAAATTTAAAACAAGAGTGTAAATCGAAAAATAAAGCATTTATACGAAGTTTTAAAAGTGAAATGTATAATAGAAAGAAATGGTTGTGTGGATGTGAGCGTCTTAATGCATTCTTTTGTTTTTCGACACTGAAAAGAATCAAATTTTTCTCAGAAATACCATGTCTCAGGATCGGCTAAATGCACTTTCTGTGCTTAGTATTGAAAAGAAATTTATAGAAAAAATACCAGATTTTAATAAAAAGGTGATAGAACATTTCGATACAGAAAAATGTCGTCGCATTGATTTAATGTACAAAAAATAAACATATTTTATGTCAATTGTTGTTTTTGTCAATATTTTAGTAAAGTGAACCACCAGTTCGATAACCCACCAGCCGCCACTGCATACATGTAAATACATAAATATACATAATACATACACGTATGATATATTATTAAATATTTGTCATAATCATGTCGTCATCATTACTGTGATGAGAGATATAAGTTCTTTAAACCCAGATTCACCAATCATTGTTAAATAAGTAACATCGTGTTAATGCGTTTGATGCTCTGTTAGATGTATCGAGCGTCCCACCACGCACAAATGTCCGTTAACATGTCTTAACCAGCCACTAATATTAACTCCTGCTCTGGAGCTCCGTCTAATGGCTAACAGATGCTAATAGCATTGTCAAAACTCAATTGTCCAATCACAGCCCTGATTTCTTGCAACCATAGTAACGTCATCTGTTTTGTCAGTTTCGACTATTTCCTTGTTAATAAAGTGAATTAAAATTTATAACACAATAATATATAACACAAGTTATTGACAACTCGATTTTGACAAGTAACACCTAGTAAATTGAAAAGAAAGCTTTTTGTGTGCTAAATGTATGCAACCAACGATATATAAAATTTGGTCGCATTACTTAACAAGTGACGTATCGAGGGATATATGCGATCAAAGTATAAAGTGGTACATCGTGGCAAACGTGCCGTATTAAACGCTATAGTTTCCACTTGGTCGTCTTATAACAAGAACGAATAATTTTGTAGTCGGTCATTTGACATAACGTTTAATAATGCCTTGTTATATTGTCATAGTGGGACGTAAATATTTTAACAGACATTTATAATTTTGAAGATTGGTTAGTAAATGATTAGACTAAATTATGATTAGACTAAACAAACATCGATTGGTGAAACTGGGTCTTAAGGAGTTTTTAAATGCATGTAGAGTTTTCGACAGTCGAATGCTCAATGGCAAGTCGTTCCAAAGGGTTATAGCCTGAACAGTGAACGACTGGCGTAATATTTGCTGTTATGAGCAGGCATTTTCAGTACGAGCCTACGTGTTGGTCGAATTCTAGACTGATCTCCTAAAAATTCAAATTTCTCCTTCAGATAATGAGGAGCATTTGGATTAAATAACACACAGTACAGAAGAGAAAGAGTATGCAGGTTCTGGCGACGGCGTATAGGGAGCCACTTGAGCTTTGAACGAAACTCTGAAACGTGGTCATACTTTCGGAGACCGAAAATAAACCGAATAGCTAGATTTTGTAATCGCTCAAGATAATTAAGTTGGTCCTCGGTTAGATTAAGATAGCTTGCGTCCGCGTAATCGAGTATTGAAAGAAGGTGAGAGTTTGCAAGCATAGTTTTGGTAGGAATTGGCAGTACATTTTGAAGTCGTCGCAAAGAACTTAAGGAGGCGTATGTTTTTTTCCCAATTTGCTTTAAATGCTCCGACCAGGAGAGAGTACCATCAAGCTGTATTCCAAGGTCTCTAACAGTGGAGCAGTAGGACAAGTTAGTACCATCGTACACAACCCGCGGCATCTCCGACTCCGCCTAATCAATCCTTGCCATCATGGCTGAATTTATTCAGTGTGATAACAATAATAATTCACTGAAATTATTTTTAATTCACTCAAACTTTAATTCATATTACCTTTACCTTTTGAACAGGAGTATACTTGAATCATATATTTGTAAAGAAGCATATTCCATTCTAATTTCATAAAAAATAGAAGTAAAATAATATTACTGTGGAATAAAATTTGATCGAATGGCATATAAAAAATAAAAATCAGTCAATTACGTACAACAACAGTTTTTCTTGAGATTGCAAAAATAGGCCAGTGCAGATGCCTCTAAAAATGATGAAAAGTGAAAATAAATTATAGTAGAATGAAACCCATTAGAAAAGGATATTATAAAAATTAAAAAAAATAATAATTTACGGGCGATCTGAGGTCAGGAAAGGTATGGGGATGGGTATTTATGGGTAAAAATGGGTTTTCTCCATTTCCGGCAAAACTAAAAGTCCTACGGAAAAATGTAATATCGCAAAGTTGTAGGTATTAAAAAGATCTAAAACTTTTGTATTTACACTTTTTTCAAATAACCTGAAAATTTATGTGGTAAATTCGAAAAACCAAGTTTTTGGTTTTTTATTTTTATCTCTTCCAAAAACAATTTTTTGTCACGAAATTTGGTGGATACTTTTCTTTTGATGTTCCAAACGCACACTAATTTATTTAATAAGAAATATTTAGTTTTTCATTTTATTTTGAATAAATACCGAAAAATCATCCTCATTTTCAATCGAAAAATCACCGGTCAAAATATCAGCTTTATTCAAAAATGTGGTGTATTTTCTGTTTTTTGAAATCTCCATTTTCCGATGGTGAAGAAAAAAATTTAATTTTCTTACTTGCAGTACCATTTTTGGATAACATAATCATGTCCCTTTTAGTGAAATGACACTCGATATCGGTTTTAAAACTCATTGGTGGCCTAAGTCATTCAGAGGCCCGCCTCTCGTTGCCGAGGGCACGGGTTCAAACCTGGCAAGTACCAATGTGATTTTTCGGAGTCATATGTACTTTCTGAGAGTATTTAGACATCACTGACAAACGGTGAAGAAAAACATCGTGAGGAAACCTGGACTTATAGTTTCACAATTATAAGTTTCAAATCACCAACCCGTCTTGAGTAAGCGTGGTGATTAATGCTCAAACCTTCTCCACGTGAGAAAGAGGCCTTTGCTCAGCAGTGGGCTCTGATAGGCTGACGACAAATATTTCTAATCAAATAAATTACAGTGAATTTGTTACATCAAAAGAAAAATTTCCACCAAATTTCGTGACAAAAAATTGTTTTTTGGAAGAGATAAAAATAAAAAACAAAAAACTAGGTTTTTTTGAATTTTTCACATAAATTTTGAGGTTATGTGAAAAAAATGTTAGTATAAAAGTTTTAGGTCTTTTTATTGCCTACAACTTTGACCTTTAAAGATAGACCGAAACTTCGTTTTATCTCTTTCTTTCGGAGTGCCTCAATTCTCATCTCTAAGGCATGTCCATTAATATGTGTCGATAGTATAGAATATATATTATTGTTCCATATTGACATCCGGAATACATCTTGAGTCAAGCACGTCTTCTTAGACTTTTTGCGCAGTTTTCGCTCCCTTTCAGTGCAAGTGCTGCCCTCTAACGTGAATTTGGCGGGAGGAAACTTGACATTTTAACAAATTGATAATAATTCTTACTTTCATCATACATATTCGAGATGAACCAGGTAGAAATTACCTGGAATAAGGATGTCTTAAGGAAAAATAATAGGTAAGTTTTATTCGCTGGAAGGACCTATCATTATAACTGACGAAGATCTTACATTCACTCTGTTGTCATGTAATCGGAAGTTAAAGAAGACAATAATTGTAAGAATTAATGACAACGATATCTTTTTATCAGAATGAAGCAGGTGTCGGGTACCATACGAGACAGTGATCCGTACACCGAGACGCATCCCAGTAAAATGCGTCATTTAGGTACTTCTACAACGACGTATTTCTTCTGATAATAATCAAAACGGAACGCATTCCAATCTCTACATTAAATATTTGTATTTGAGATAATTAAAATCAATGTGAATCGGTTGGTTTAGTGAAAGTTTGTTCTTCAATATTAGTGGTTAATTCAGATATGGTCAAGTGCGGTATTTGAATTTCGTTACTTTATTTTCTATTCCCAAGAACGGTTAATATAAGTTCTTTTTTGTAATTTATCTAACCAACTAATTTCTTGTGAATATACTAATAGCTGACTGGGGTCAAACATATACATAGGTACTAAAAAGGAGGAGGTATTGCATTAAGGTCTTCTTTCATCAATTTATCTTTTAATTAAACTTCAGCACGTTTGCTGCAAATAATTTGCAGTATGTCGTGAGAAATCGTTTTGTTATCGAAATAGTTTCCAAATAAGTGGTTAATTTTTTCATAAATAACGGTCGCTTTAAGATCAATGTCGGCAGAGGCACACCAATCATATAAAGCAGAGGGATATAAAAATAAATGATTCAAAATTTATTTCAGGTGGTTGTCGGAGTTTTTTTTAAATAATTTAGCTACATTTCAATGCACCCAAATCGATATTCAAAATAATTAGCCATCTCAGGATACCATTCAACAGGCCACCGCCTCTAGTCTTCAGAACTTTAAAGGTTTTAATGAAGTTTCAATCTCCAACTACACATTTTACAATGCTGTCAATTTAAGCTAAATAATCTATTAACCTAATAAGCACTTTAAGTTATTGCATGGTGCTATTTCGATGATGTCATGCATTAAAATATTTGTTTAAAATTTTATAGAAACTCAGTTTTAACTTATTGTTACTAAAACAATCAGAATATTTTCAAAGACTTATTAATATAAGGGAAGGAATGTTAGGGAGATGTAAAATAGAAACAACAATATGGAAATTTTCAAAGCATTTTATTTATGACCTTTAACACAGTGTATAATATATTTTGATAGTACATTTAGAGCAATGAGTAATATTACCAATTATTACATTGTTCTTATTCTCATAAATTGAATGAAATTCATAAATTATATAGAATATAATCCTCAAATATCATTCTCGCCTAACAAACAACAATCACTATCGAAATCACAAGGACCTCCCGCGCCTGCGCCGGCGCAGCTCTCAACGTTCCAACTAACTTATACTTAAAAATAAATTACAAGAACAAGTAAACATAATTTTAGAAAACAGCTATGTCTCTAAAAATAACAGTATAGCTTTTAGAGTACACTCTATAAAAATATATTTAATCCAGCTTAAGCTGATATATCTAATTTAAAAAGGTCTTTATTTTTTGAACTACGAAAGTATAGCGAAACGAAGCTATGCAAACCAATTATTTTATATTGAAGTCAAACAATCACGTTCTAGATCATCCCCGTATTCATATACCAGCTTCTATCCCACGAGATTAATATAATTTTGCTATGCAAAATACACCCTAGTGGAAAAAAATACAGATTTGGAATGTTACAAACAAATGACTAGAAATAAAATTATTACGAAGTTTCATTCGACCTGAGATCCCTTCATGCCTTAATATTATGGGAGGTACATCTATAGCGATACATTTGTTGTGAACAATGAACAAACAAACGATTAATTATTATTATTTTTATTGAAGAAGGACGAATAGGGTAGAAGCACAGCGTCAAACTCACTAAACACCAACAGCGATGACAACTGACAAGTATGACATTTGACGTTGCGCCACAGACAATAACATCGGTCTCACTAACAGTTTAATAATTTTGACGACAGTTATTGTATTATTTAATATTAAGAAATATTATAACACACAGCATGTCTACATTTGGATAATACTTTTGATCTTAACTCTATTTTTCTAATCTAAACTGTTTTATCTAGTGTTAGCCGAGTCTAAAATCCAAGGTGCAAGCCGGTGAATGGATTCAAAACGTACGAGAAAGCAACGATTATATTTCATATATTACTTTTTTTTTTCTCAAAAATTTCTGTAACTTAAACACGGATCAATCGATACATTTATTTACAATTACTAAAATTTACTTAAGCTTACAAAATTATCTGGAAATAGAAATATTTTCGTATGTTTTATTTCGAAAAAATCTCACCTAGAAGCTATAATTTAGTGAAGATTATTCCGTTCAACATCAAGCGGTAACAAGATTAAGAAACGATGTCTAAATTATAAATCAGATGTCATAGAAGATACTATGGTCACAAAAATTATTCTAACTACTGTGCGGGATGATGTCTGATAAAAATTACAATGACGTAATGAAACATTGTTTGACGAATGCGTGTATAACACAATTCTGGGGTCTTGACCAGGTTTGCTAGTTATTAACACCACCTGACTCGAGTTGGGAATGTTTTGTGACTGTTCTATAGAGGACACTCGCTCTAAACCCTACATCGTTAATATCGCATTAACCTACTTTATACAATCCATATCGACTGAGAAATGAGAATAAACTACAACACAAATGAAATCATTCCATCGATTACATTGAAACGACTCGTCTAAAACTACATTGCCATAATATATTATGTATTTACAACCGATACTAGATGAAGTCAAACTTTACGTATGACGTCACTCGAGTTCCCTGACGGGCCGCGTGTAGCACCAGTCTCACGTTAACTTACACACTGTCAGTAGCGTAGTTAACGTAACAACTCGTACTGAGCACGCTGGACCACCAAGTTCTATCATCACCGCTCGGGTCATACGTATATACAAGTTAAATTACATTATATTGTATATAACATTAAGAGAAAATCTATAAAGTTATTTTCATTATTTTGTCATATCATAGCAGGTTCGTTGACCTCGTAACACGCAATGGAGTCTAATAGAGATATCGCCGACAGTTATTGTGCGCAACATTTGAGACCTAACAATAATATTACAATAATACAGGGAAAAAATTCACAAAATTGGCATATCAAGTCTTTGCACCTTTAAACTTAAAACTACTGTTAAAAACAAAAAACAATATTAATAACTTGACAAGAAACTATTTGGACTTTGACAGTTTTATTTTTTAACATTTGGCAAGAAATACAAAAGGCAATGGTGCAAAGACAATGTAATTTGAAATATAGGTAATAAAAAAATGATTAGTACAAAACATGTGCGTCCAACATAAGATATTAAAACAGCCGTCGTAAAGCTATTTCATTTCTAATATCATTTACCCCATCGTTCCGTATTTTGCACCGGTTTGGTCCCACGACCTCGACCGTCCCGTTAAAAACTATAACGGACATCATAAAAAAATATAACAACATATATTTACGTATAGACCGTATCCAGCATTAGATGCCATATAATAATAATAAATCGGATATGCTAAATTAATTGATACATCATAAAAAGGACAAATATATATAAATATAAAACTACCGTCCCAGCCCTACTCACAACAGATTACTGAGCTCACCAAACCAGTCGCAGAAATATAATCACCGCTCGATGTATCGACCATCTACCATCAACTTTAGTCATATTATATGGAATATCAAGTAGTGACGTCATTAAAAATCGATTATAAACTTTGGCGATACAGGAGCTACATAGAGTTATATACGAGCGATAACTGTGAGGCTGTTTTAGTATCTATATGAAGTCCGCGAACGCAGCGGGCGGTGCGCGTACAGGCGGCCGTCGGCCACGCACTTAAAAAACGAGGATAGACTCCATGCTGAGGGCGTCTCATGCGAGAGGGGGCCCGGGGGGCCCGGCCTGGAGCGCGGGGGGGCCTGCGGGGGCCGCGGGGGCGCCTGCGGGGACCGACGGGGGCCCAGCGGGGGCCCGCGACCCGCGGCGCGCTGACCGCGACCTGAGCGACACCTTCACGCGTGTATATACATTTGGACCGACATCGATGCCTCTTTATTATCTTATACTACTTATTGATACTTCATCGATATAACAAAATCAGAATTAAAAATACAAAACTTAAATTTGAATTTCATAGATTGTGTAACATAAAATAGAAAGGAAGAGGACATCAAATGTTCTAAGCAAAAATATCAAAAAAATAACAAGGTTTAATAAACGAAGAACAGGAGCAAAGTTACTATCAGTTATATAATGAGCACCCACCTGATCTGTCCGGCCAGCAGCGGGTTGATGGCGTACAGCCAGTCGTGGACCTCCTTGTCTCCTAGAGTCTGCAGCAAGTAACCGCGCTCCTTGCTCACCACACTGTCCGTACATTATTATATTATAATATTTGTCGACACAACCATCCATAAATTACTCTGTCTCTCAAGTGACGGTCGAACATACAGAGCATAAAGATATTGGAATCAATATGTCAACTTTACTTTATTGTTTGCTTTTGGATATAACAATTCTTGAAGTTGAAAAAAAAAATGAGAATAAGACGAAGTTTCTCAGCATATTCACAGTGCGGGTGTTAGGTTCATGGTTGTAGGGAGAGGAGCTTCAACAGTGACTGGGACTTGCGACCCAGGTGTAGGTTTAAGGGGCCCCTAACGAATTAACCGCTCCCCTCCACCGTCCAAGCTCCTCTCTCTACCAGCGATGTATGTATCTACGTATGTATGACATATGTCTTTACCTGAAGGTGTTGGGCATCCTGACCATCTGTTCCTGGTCTTCAGAGTACTCTACGTGAGCGTGCGCCAGGTTGATGACGGCTCTCTCTACGGGATCACGTTCACAACGATGTATGAACACATACGGACGACGAACAACCTGAAACACGTACAAATATTGTTAAGTATACTTCATAAGAACATTTTATGTAACCATATCATAATGAAACTGACTTGACGTTAAAGCAGAGATAAAGACATGACCGTAACTTATTATGTAATTTTTGACTATTTTTTTGAAGTGAAACTTCTAATGTGAGTTCCAACAAGGTTGTGTTAAACTTTCAAAGCTACTAGAGAGGGGGAACAGAATGACGAAACGACAGTAAATGGATGGTTCAATTCTGAATTGTAAGTAATGTTAATAAGGTTTGTTTTAAAAAACAATATGAGTTAACTATAAATCAATTTCTACTCTTTCCTATTTGCATTTCCTCATACCGAAGTTTCAGTATTTCTCCACACTATTATTTTTTAACTTCCCTTCCCATCTAGATAACAAAAATATTACAATTTAGGATTTAATAAGTGATATCTCACCAGCCATCGTTTCTTCCAGCCGTGTGTCCCATGTTGTAGTACATTAAGGTATCCTCGTCGAGCGACCGCCGCAGACACCCGCACCTCCTCACAGTCGGGCACGAACAGAGCCCCGCCGGTGGTCGTGTTAACCCCTCCCCACCCTCCACCTGCCTTCTCCAGCAGAGCACGCTCCGGAGAACACAGCCTACCAAGGAATTTAGGTTTTATATATATACTAGATAACCCGACGAACTTTGTATTGCTCTATAATCAAGAAATATCTGTTACGTTTCTTTAATAAATAAATTAAGCCTCAGAAACACGTGGTGGTTATGCTATTATGTATTAAATAGTCAATATATGACGTTTGTATTTTTAACATAGCGCCATCTAATGAATACCTACTTAACTCAGTCAACAAATAATTGTAACAATGACAAATAATTTTCTTTAATAGACAAATAATTTGCAATAAAATAGTATTGTAACTATAAATTGAAATGTAAGCTATCCTATCTTTCAAGTTGGGTCAAAATGCACATGAAATGCGAATCAAATTTAAAATCGGTATAGTAGTTTAGAAGTCCATCGCGGACAAACACGTGACACGAAAATTTTATATATATAAATAATATATAATTAAGGTTGCTTTTTCTATGAATTAAAAGATGTTAAAATATACATCGCAGTGGACAAAAAAACAGTACTAAAAGTAATGTTATTTATTAAAAGTGGTATTCTAAATACATTAATTATACTCACTCAAAGCTGCTGGCGCTATGTATGGAGGAGAGCAGACTCGGTGTAGAGATATCAGCCGACACTCCCTCGTCGACCGGCGTGGCGGGTGATACGGCCGTCTCAACCTCTTTATTGTGGCCTATCCTTGCTGTTTATGGAATACAAACGTAATTTCGAATAATTAAGTCTCAATTTGTCCAAAATAAAAAAAAAAACTAAATAAATTACAAATTGCTCTTTCACTGATCTTACTAGTTGTAAAATATTTTTTTCTAGTTTATAAAGATGAAATTCTACAGTTTGCATTATAAAAAATTACATATATTTGATTTTACATAGTGAACAGAACGCACCCTGTATAAGTTTGATGTATTTTGTCGCTAGTTCCCGTTCCCTGGGGGTCATTTCCCAAGGTTCGTACACCGCTTCATCACGAAGATGAGCACAGTCTGACGCAGCCTTAGCCGCCATATTGGAAACCTCCTGTATAAGAAGAATTTTATTACATTCCGATAAATAACTATTATTTAATATTAGCAATTAGTTATTTAGATTAAAAAATTTGTTTAATAAATGTTGTTTGATACTTGTCCAACATAAATATTAATTTAAGGTACATTTGTCTCAGAACTCCATCTACATATATAAAAAAATATATAAAAAGTATATATACCTTTTCAGTTTTAGTAAAGTCATTGGGCGCGACAGTATTCTCGTGTCCGTGTCGTAGTCGTTCCCGTAGCGCCAGGAAGTGTCTCGTGCGGCTCACTTGCTCAAGACGAGTCATCTTCTCTAATTCCCACTGAAATGGTAAGAAATGCTTCAGTAGGCTCTTAGACTATTATAAATTTGTATGAATTGATGTGTTGCTTGCAGTCAATTATTTTATATCATTATATATTTATATAATCCCAAACAAAGCCAACGTAATGATCAAGCGTGATGTGCTCTTGATATGTGTGAGAATTGAAGCATTTCAAGGCGTATCTACACTGCATCACATCCAAGATACAATTCGGACGTTATCGATAATATTAATTTGTTTTGTTTAACAAAATTGCCAATTATATTCCAATATATTTACAACTGATAAGCGTCATGGTGTTCGATGACGTCACATATCAATTCCATAATGCAGATGCGCCCTTACGTTATCAAAGCATACAACAAACGACATGCGTGATGTGCACGGACACTTAACCAGTACACAAATTACTTTTCATTAGCTATTTAGTAATGAAAACATCGAATGGGTGATGCGCACATACTAAATAGCTATCGAAATAAATTTGTGGACCTGAAATTTATCGATAACGTCCAGCGGCCAATCATAGAACAGTTTGCGCCAGATACGTCTCTGTTGTCGGAAAAAGATATACATTAATGTTAGTGTTATTACATATTCATTAGCGTAGCAACTAAATATCGATACTACTCACAAATAAAAACGACAGCACATCTCTCATTGAACATGCAGTCAGCTCGAGTCAAACGTGAGTTTACCATTTAATACAGTAAGGATGAGTAGTAGGGGATAGTAATTGGTACCTGGTGGTCGAATATGAGTGAGTCACCCCTCGGTCGCCAGCCGTGTAGATTTTCCTCTCCACGTACGTAGGTACCGCTAGTATCTAGCACACGGCGTTGACGACGCTGGACTCCTACGATAAAAGTTAAATATTAAACTTGTTAACACATGAAAATAAAATTAACATAAACACTGTACATATACACAATATTTACAAAACTCCAGTTATGATTATTTAATTTGTATAACTATAAATTATTTAATCCATCCATTTGTCTATTATATTCAAATGTAAGAAGTATGTAAAATATATAACAGTATTTTTTATGTTACTGATTAAATAATGGAATTTTGTGCCATTGATATGGTATCACTAAAGGTTTATAGAATCTAGAATCAAGTTGAATATATTCTAATTTAAATAAAGAACGATATATTTAGAAAAATTACATCACTAAATGGATTGTCTTATTGTAGTCCTATAAGCAAATAATAATTTATAGTTCGTTTGATTTAAGCTGAGCTTTACATTTGTGTAAGTGCACACGGATAGTGTAGGTGTGATGTCAAATTTTTGAATGTAACGTTCTTTTCTAGTTTTAAACCGGTTTATTCTGCTTTTACTCCGCCCCGCACCTTCCTCACCTCATCTTTTGTACTGGTAGCAAAATCAAATGTTGAAAACGCGATGTCAAACGAAGAAGAATTTGTATAGTTATATTAATTAATATATTTTTTTCTATAATATTCATAATATTTCCATCTTTCCTTTTACAACTTTTGCTAATTTTATAACACTTATGTTATGTATCTATTTAAAATATAATAAAATTTAATTCTAAATGTTTTTTGTCTAACTCTACTTTTACTTTTACTCATACAAATGCAAAGCTCAGCTTAAGTCTAACGGACTATACCTGGTTCCAAAGCCCTATGTAGACTGAGTTCGTATAGTCCAGTGAGGCGATCGGCTCGAGCGGCTTTGGAACCGAAGAGAGCTCTCCGCAGAGAGCGACCCGCGCCTGTACGAGCCTCGCGACCAACAACCACCACGGATAAGTCTTTGGTTATGATAGCTGGACGACCACAGTTTTCGACCTGATGAGAAATAATAAAAGAAGTTTAAAAATGTATTCCATAAGACTATTAAAGCTTATTAAATGTCCATAGCAAGTTTTATGTACATATATAAAGCCTATATGTGCTCTAAAATAATGAGCGTATTGAGAAATGGCGTTTAAATTCCATTGAAATCTGATTCAGCAATTTGGCAGAGTGTCCTCAATAAGTTTAATGTATTTTTAACGTATCTGTATTCTATAATTATAAGTATATACAGAAATGTTCTTTGAAGTCCGAAAAAATTGGTTTAAAATGTGGTTTAGTAGTTTGGCAAAGATGTTTGTAGTGTATTTAGCAATGTGATTTTTACGAGTCATATGTACTTTCTAGGAGTATTTAGACATCACTGATTAATCCATTCCCAAAAAGAGGGTTGATGTCAGGCAAGCGGCTGGTTGTAGAAACAATTAGTCAAAACTATTCACAACGTGTAAGGCAGACCCTGGCTAAAACTGGGAATTTGCCAGGTAGAAGAAGAGAAGATTTGTAGTGTATGTATGGGTGTTCTACACACAATATAATAACAAACCTCGAGGTAAGCGCTGAGTGTGATGTAAACTACTTCGCCGTTAGCGCTGACTCTATTGAGGAGAGGCGAGCCGTGTAGACTGCTGTCCCAAGCGGCTTCGAATCTGATAAAAATCGTATATCAGGCAATATATAACAAAGTCCATAATTAATTAAAAAATATTAAATGTTTCTTGTCAGCATCGTTATTCTTATATAAATAGCGATGCCAACAAGAAGTCTTAGGTAAAAAAAAACAGCGTCATTCTTAGGTAAAAAATTACGTAAATTCATCATTCGGTCTACGTAATGTAATGAAAAATGTTAATACAATAAAAAAAATTATTTCATCATCCAATTTTTATACTGGCGACATCCTCAAAAAGGGGATATATGTTGCCATACTCGTATTTTTTATAATAAAATTGTTTATTATTCCAGTTACCTGAAAACTGCTCTATCATCAAGAGTAGGTCTTTCTCCCGGGAACAATCCAAGAGAGAGTGCTCCATCTTCATCTCCGTCTGTATCTTCGCTGGCTTCTGGTGTATTACGGATACGACCTACCAGAATATAAAATTTAATATTACATACAATATAACTAATACACATACATATATTTCTAAGTCTTTTTACTCAACCAAGTAAGTGTGGTCTAGTAGATAGTAGAAAGAAAGAAAGAAAAGACATTTATTGACGTACACACAAAGAAAAAAAAATATACAAAAAGGATATAAAAAGAAAATTACGAAAATAAAGAAAATTAATATAATTGATATGAAACTTGTGTGCAGTCAAAAGGAGACAGCTCAGGCTATGAAGGTTTTTTATCCCTGTGCTGATTTTCAGCTGTCTCCATTGTGGCGATGCAATGACAGTATCACCCAAAGTAAAAACCAAAAAAACATATTTACATTTTTATATTATATAAATACTAGAAGACCCGGCAAACTTCGTATCGCCCTATAATCAACAAATATATGTTATGTTTTTTTATTTCTATTTTTAGAGTTTACGTATTAAAGCCATAAATCTCCGTGTTCTGAAGTGCGACAGAATGATTGACATATTAGTTAGTTGTCAAATCTAATGTCAAAAAAAACGTTTGTATCAACAACTACTAATAAATTGAAAATAAATTAAAAAAAACATTGTCCAGCGGACAAAATTGTGAATCTAAACCATTCCCAGATCCCCTTGAACACACACAAAAAATTTCATCAAAATCGATCCAGTCGTTTGAGAGAAGTTCAGTGACACACACTCACAGAAGAATTATATATATAAAGATATACAAACCAACAACAAGCTCCCTGACATCTGTCCACTGCAGATCAGATGAGGGTTCATGTAAGATGGTGATGCGAATTCTTCGTTGTATACCCTGGTGCAAGAGGAAAAGTCCGCGGCATGGCAACTCATCGCTGTGCTCTACCACCTGTTACAATTGTATATAAGCACTATTTAGTAGAATTTCTAGATTTTTTTCATGTAGAAATATAATATATAGTATTTTATCTATTATCTGTTATATATTACAGCTGGAAATCCAACGTAAATTGCAATTTATAAGTATGGGTGTAAGAAGTATTTACATTTAAATCGTAATACTCACAGCCGGTACGTAGTCTCCACTTGGTGCCAGTTCACAGATCTCGAACCAAACAAGCAGATCGTGTTTCGAATGCAAGTGTGATGAGCAGCAGGGAGGCGCTACACTCGCAGCACCCCACTTAGGGCTTCGGACCGGGGCTGATATAGGCAGCGACGGTGGCAACATACGACGGGGCGGAGCCCTACCCACAGGCCCATCCTGTTTGGCGTCCTGTACAATAATCAATAAGATCCATAGAAATACAAAGTAATAATTCCGAGTCATATGTACTTTCTAAAACTATTTAGACATCACTGATTAATGCATTCCCAAAGAGGGTTGATGTCAGGCAGGCGGCCGGTCGTAAAAACAAATAGCCAAAACTATTCACAACATGTAAGGCAGACCCTGGCTATAGCTGGGAACTTGCCAGGTAGAAGAAAAACAAAGTAATAACAATATAACTAGCGTTACATATTATAAAGTATTTAGGTATTTATTAATTCTGATATAAGTACCTTATGTAAAGGATGTTGCTGATAGTGTCCGAATACCTCGAAGACGATCGGTTGGGATTTTATATAGTCAACGAAAGATTTTGTTACAGGTACAGTAATCTGTGGAATTAAAATATATTAAAAATTATCATTACTTTTATAAATATTTTCGGTAAATATTCTTTTGATACGCACATTTTGAACGTGATAGAATCCTAGTGGTGTATTTTTACCGGTATTCTTGACCGGTTCAGTTGAAAAGGCGTCTTCGTTTCTATGCAGGAAGCTGAGAACGTAATACAAAAATTAATGTCAACGAAATCTTTAATAACTTCATTATCATTAATTTGAAGAAATTGAAAATAAATTTAGCTTTAAAATATTCCGTTTTACTAAAGAAAGGAAATAAGTACTTTAGGATAGTTACATTAAAAAAAAGTTCTTATACAAACAAAACCAACTAACTTGAACTGGCAGAACACATCAGCGTAATCCGTGGCCACACTGTGAGCTTGTAGCACAGTCACTCTGAAAGTGAACTCGCGACCAAGAGTCAAATGATCGGGAAGATCTTCATCCTTCAACTCTGAGGCTAACGAACTGTCTCCACGGCCGCTATCTGCATCACACTCACCTACTGCCAGCTCTATAGAAAAACATATATGACAAAATAAGCACCTAGTCTGAGAATTATCAGTAGTTATTCAAAATGTATCTAAGTTTCTTTGTATATGATATTTATAATAGTAAAAGTCTTTGATTTGAAACTACCTTCAATCTTGATGTTAGAATCCTGTTCTGGTCTGTCTTCATTATTTATAGCGTTGATGACGTTGTTCTTTTCAACGTTGGATATAGCTTTAAGCCTCGACCGTACTGGTACGATGTCATCATCGAATGAAATTTTTGCTGATTGTTTCACGCCAGCAACGAATTCAGCATTATCTGCAGGAATAATGAATGTTAATAGAATGTAATTACGCTATTTACAGAGGATATAAGTAATTATACAAACTTTTTTCGGCGTCGATAACAGCCTGCACGGCGACCCGCAGGTAGCCCTTCACGTCTCCTTTCTCATTCACTATAGCGACCTTGTGAATGAGTGGAACCGGATACAGGAGGTTCGACAAGTATACGAAGCTCCTAAAAATTTAATAATCATAAATTTTATGACCCCCTTTTCTTCTCTCTTCATTGTTTATGATTTTAATCATAAACCTCGTGTGCCTTCACCATAAAATAATTTATTTTTTTGTTAAATTAATTAGTTAATTTTTGCAGAATAAGGAAAGTTCAAATTGCTTCTTTGCTTCACTGCTTTTTCCAAAGCTCTACAACTTTATAATCAAATAGAAGTGATGTATATAAATCTTCAGTAGACAGCGAGTACGCTGTCATCGGGATTGACATAAATGGGCGAAATATATACCATACAAAAAAATAGAGACCTACCTCCAATTAGAGTAACTTACCGTCCAACTAGACGGAACCAGGGGAACCTATCATAGAAGGGATCCCCACCGGTCACTGACTCTATGTTGTGATCAGGCGAGGTTGGTGACAACTCCGCCTCGTTGTGGTACATCTCACGCATCAGCTCTAAACGTTGCCTAAAATATTGATGACGTCATAATACAACAATTACGACAACTATATGGGACATAAATGTGATTTATATTACAATATTAACCAGCCTAAATTTAAAATTTCAACGCGGATATTTAAATTTTCACATCATCCTATGCGTCTAAATTCTAAAGCATCAGCGCATGCAAGCAAATAACTTTAACTATTTTAATAATTTTTACCAATACCTATATTTTGCAAGACCTATGATTTTTGACTAACCACATCTATATACATTTAAAAACAATACAGAAAACTTATTGTCTAAATTAAACAATGATTTTATATCATTTAAGCTTAATGGCGACAAAAATAAAATTAAAACAATAAAACTGACAATGATACACTGATAGAGAATCCAACACCGTAAAAAAATACAATTAAATAAAGACACAGTAAAACAGAACATTTTTAAAGTTTCCATTGCCCGGGAACGGCGTCTCGATAATTTCATAGCCATATCCGATAACGAATACTAAATAAAAATAGTAATACTGCTTTGGAATTAGATTCTCTGAGCACATACAGCCGATACACTATGCGTAGTGCTTTTACGTTTTGCTGTTTAACATATAACACGTATAAAATGTCCATCGATCATCCAAATAAGGCTCTCCAGTACAGCGTTTAGTGAAGTAAGCGTGACTTAGCCGTTGTCTTTCTATAACTATCTTTTCCAGGCAGAAACAAAACAGTTGGCCTATCACAGCAACTATCAGGATGCATTTTCACCAAAACCCCACGAGACAAATTAGCAAAGCTGTGCAGAAAAAATTTGCCAAAAGATCACTTCAGTTCCGAAATTTAAAATGTTTCATTCAAGTGGTCACAGCGACAAAAAATAATATAATTAAAACACTGGAATAAAATAAATCAACCATCGAAATAAATCCAAAAGGAGAAACAAAAAATGTATCATGTAAATGTAGTATAAGTTATACTAAAATCATTATATATTGCAATAAAAAAGTCTTAAATGACAAAACCAATTTGTAACCGTTGTTCCCATCACATCATTTCAAACTACAAAACTGATGTTATCCACTTGGCATTTTTCTTGCACAGCGCGCAATCTACTCGCATTGCTCCGATGAGGACGCATCACCCTAACCCGTTATATATAATTTGTTTCCACCCTCACAAACCTCGATGGTAGAAGGTTGGCGAGTGATAGTCTGGTGTTGGAGCAGGCAGCTATACATTGCAGTACGTCAGGGTCGGGCAAGACGTCGACCTCGCTGACAGCCCTGACATCCTCGTTCATGTTGTAAATCTGACGCATCAGTTCCAGCCGATGTCTAAACACAATAACCCATTCATTCGAACACTTATCCCTACCCCCCAAATCCTTAGACTTATAGACCCTTTTTCTTTGATTGTGATATATAATAATACCCTTTTCTCCTAACTGTAATTGTAAACCCATTTATCGACTTTTCTTAATAAGGCCTGTCTATATAGTCCTCCCAATCAGCATATATATATGTATATATATTTATTTTATAAAATATATTTAAGGCTGGTTTAACATAAAATAATAAGCAGCAAAATATAAAAGCGTTATCATATATATTATACACTTACAAACTGTAGACCTATCTAACACTAAGGAACTAACTAGTATTTTTACATAATTTACATTAAATCATAAAATACTATTACACAATAATAATAACATAAATGGCTACAGCGTTCATTGGAAATAATAGAAAAATAATGATATAAATAACTTAGACTAAACAAAAATAATGAAATAATTAGAAATAGAAAATAATTTAATAATTTCATAAAAATGTAGTTAATACCACAGCTAAATCATAATATATTTGTAGAGCATTTTTGGCAGGAGCATACTCTTGAATATAATATTATTTTTCAGGTGTTTGTAATATTTTTTATTTATTAATGTAAAGTCAGAATAATAAAAAAATCTAAACACAATTTCACTTTACAGAAATGAGTTGGTATTATTTATAACAATTACATTAATCATGTATTTATATCTTGTGATTTTTATTTCAACAGAATGCAAAAAAAATATACATATTAAAATTAAATACATTAAAATAAATATAAAAAATACATTATAGCTATAAAATCTCACCAAATTATCTATTCTGAACCTACGAATGCACCTTCCAAACCTAGCTATCTATCAGAACAACATACGTATACATGTCAAAACAGAGTTCAGATACAAAATAATTGATGCATAAGCCTTTTTTCGCATTACCTTACATATTTTTTTAAACTGTAATCTGAACTCCTTTCACATATAAAAACGTTCCAAATTCAAACTTACGTCAGATTAGTGTAGTAGGACTCACATATAAAAACGTTCCAAATTCAAATCTACGTCAGATCAGTGTAGTGTTACTCACCGCAGTTTTTCCAACGTCCAGTAATGTGTGGCGCCGTTCTTGGTGTCTGTTACTTCCACGGCTACCACTGTGGGTGCTGAAGGTCTGTATTCATCATCAGCTTCGTCCCTCGGAGCAAGTTCAGCGGGCAGTGGAGAGTATGGAGTGTCGGTTAGCAAGGTGAATTGGAACTGCACCTTCTTCCGCAGTTCCACGGATATAGCGTTCGCTTCCTATATAATTCTTGGTCATTAATTTATTTGGACATTAATTTTGAACGTTTTATATAGATACAATAGTGTCGAAGTTATTTTCTTATATACTACGCGACTTTATTTTTGATAAAAACTTCACACTCCAGACGTTTCGGTTACTTTTCAGCAATCGTGATCACGGGCAGACGAGATGTCACACATCGTCGAAACGTCAGGAATATGTAGTTAAAATATTAAAAATCGTTCAGTAACTGAAAACATTAGTTTCATTTAAATGAATAAGATTCACGAAAATCTTAGATCTCATTATATCTGAATACCTTCTCTACTCCTAAGTGTTCGTATGACTAACCTTAAGGAAGATGGCGTTGCCCCACAGATCGTCCCTCAGCGACGTGAACTGGTGATACTTCCACTTGCGGAAGGCCCACGCCGCCAGCCCCACCTCGCGGGCCGACCAACACTCTGTCTCAAACAGGGGATTCACTGTCGGACAACCAGACACTAGGATATTTATTATAGTTATATATAAAAGAGATTTCCACCTATATATTGACTCATCACGATATCTCTGGAACCGTAAGGCGTAGCGACTTGAAATTTGGTAGGATTATTCCTTTTGCCGAGTATAGGTCAGCTAAGAACGGATTTTACGAAATTCCACCCACAAGGGAGGTTGCGGGGGGTAAACAATGGAAAATACGCTTTCACGCCTAAACCACTGAACTGATTTTAATGGAATTTTGTACAGAGATGGAGTTGACCTTGAGAAAGAACATGGGGTGGTTTTTATTCCAGAATTTTAAAAGGTTCTCTTGGAAACGCGATATAACCGGACTCCATGCGGGCGAAACTGCGGGCGGAAAGCTAGTAGTTATATATTTCTTTCATACGTTCCAATACTAACAAATAACTCACCAAATTGGTCAAAATCTTTTCATAGATATACGTTTATGTAAATATTCTTACCAAAGATATCTTCATCGTTATGGAAGTCATCTGGTGTGTAGGAACTGTACATGGACATTGTGACGCTCTGTTCCTCGACTTGACGCTGCAGAGCATCTATACGAGCCTCGTAATTCTGAGAAAAAATATTTATTGATTATTCAATATATTTTCCACTGTTTATACCTAATATAAAAAAGACCCGAGGACATTATTTTTAACTTATACTGTAATTACAAATCGAAAATTTAAAAGGATATTTTGTATTTGAATGGACTTTGATATAGAGACATTAACAATTTGACATATGGAACATTTTCGATTTATGTAGTATAGTGGTAGTTATATTAATAAATAAAGCACGGCTCCACATATGTAGAGAAGACGATTGATATGAAATATTATAAGACAATATAAAAGCTCTAGTTTTAACCATTATCTATAATATATTTATATAAATATATTTGCACTGAATTATCAAAGCATGAGGATCTGATAGGGTTAGATATTTCATTGCGTTTGTGTATTTCATATCGTATAACCTTTCTCTGTTCCTCAAACTGTTGGTCCGCATGCTCTTTCTCTTTCCTCCACTGTTCTTCGATGGCCATCAATCTCTTCTGCATCTCAGCCTTGAGGTCAATGCCCTGTTTTTCTAGCAGTTCACATTGAGCGAAGTCCCAATCTACGTTGGGTTCCGTCTCGTTTGATGCTGTTATATAAATGTATTTCAATATTAAAACTATATTTCGTGCAAGACAATTTAAGCTTTAATTTACATGTCGCTCATTAAATTTAATAATTGGAACTGCAAATACTAAGACAATTAATAGAAATAATATATTCCAGTCATTCTAAACTGTGTTTTTATTACTAATGCTTTGTTGACTTAAAAGCTTGAGATGCTTCCAGGGAGAATTATACAGAGCTTCAGTAACTGACTTTAATTAGAAGACAATTTAAGACCTAGATAGATACTGTCATATAAATTAGATATTAATCGAATCTTCTACTATCTTCTGCTTTTTGTGTGTTCATAGCCTTACCTTCTACGTCATTGGCTCCCGGCTTATCATCAACGGCCTTGTTGGAGATCATCTCCTCCCTCGGTTGTCCAGGGTGTGTGAACCGGAACACGTGGTTCTTGCCAAGGATCACACGGGAACCGGTCTTCAGGATTATTGGTTCCGTGACCTTGAGATAATGATTTTACGTTATATACAAACGTACTTAATAATTTGACATATCATTTATTTCGTACCCTAAAGGATGACTGATGATAAGGAGATATATTTGAAAAATTTAAAAGAAATAATTATCATGTATTATGATTCTATCAAAATATTAAAATTTATTTTCTATAAAAATAAAATATCCTTTAACTCAGTTTTAATATATCTAGTAGATTGAATTGTAATATCTTTGGAAAACTACTTACAGCCTAAAGCCTATTAGTACATGATATTAATAATAACTGTCATATAAATTTCATCAGATCAACTCACCTCTCTTCCATTAACATAAACCAATGCTCCAGCGTGTGGTATTAAACATATAACGCCATCTGTATTCTCAAAGATGCAGTGCTCACTCAGGATATGTGATCCTGACAGCTGAATGTCTTGGGGAACGTTCGCTTCAGCTGTCCCAAGACGAGTTACACCTGGAAATACACTAGCTATACAATTTGCACTAAAAACAGTATGTTAATGCGGATAATCCGCGTCTTTCTAAGCCTCTGTGAGTAATACGTAACTCAAGATAGCTCGATCAAGCATTGTGACTGTAATTTAATATTGTAAATTGAACATGAGATACAAGTGTCATATACGTATATGGAAATTAAACTAAGCATACCAAAAGTACTGGATCGATTTCTATAAAAAATACATATTTAAGAATTCTATAAAAATATAACGACATATTAATTAAAGATGGATTTAGGGAAGTTTTAAGAAACAACAATGTCTATAAGCACTTAATATTTGATTATGTGCATTTTCTTACAAATCAATCAAATCTCAGTCGTAGTTAGGATCTACTTAACGTTTATTTTAAATGTAAAATATTTTTAATAAACTATATGAGACATCACAGTTGTGTATAATAAAAACTTACCATCCTTGATATAATACAGTAAACATTCTGACAAATTGGGGTCCTCATTGAGATTGACCAAGTGGGGGGTCTTTTTGGGCGAGTAGACCCCTACTGTGACCCCTTCTTTAACTGCGAGACCCATCTCAGCGAACACAGCCTCCCGTTGAACGCGTATCTGCTCCGTACGTTTCAATTTCTCCTCCCAAGTTTCGTTCAATTCTATTAAATATATGACAATAGTTTTACACATAGATTTTTGCACAAGAATATGCTAATCCTAATAATATTGCACACACAAACTACAATTCTGTCAATTTTTACGATCATTCATTGATCTTTCATTACTCTGTTATTAATTAAAGGTGATGTGACATGAAAAAGCCTAATTCACTATGCACTTTCGTTTGATCAACAATGAGCCTTTATTTTTTTACTGTTTTTATAGACAGAATCCATTCAATAGTTAATAGTTTTTTTCAAAGAGTATCATAAGTCCCAAAGCATCAAAAACATCAAATTCCAGAAATATTTGGATTCATTTTATTGATAGTTTTCCTACAAACTCTCCACTTACCCGCGATAAGTTTCTCCGAAGCCTGCAATTGGTCGACGGCTTCTTCAGCGATGGTTGCCGCACGAGATAATTTCGGTGACACCTCAGATTCACTCTTGCGAGGTTGGGTGTTCTCCTCTCCTGCTATATCACGTCCAATTTCGGTATATTAGACAAAGATAGTTACAGTTTTAAAAGTATCGCCTTCAAATTCAATTTTATTTCTATTCAAACAGCCATATTATGTTTTGTTGTAAATGTGTATTGTGCTGCCAACACCAATACTTTACCAAAACAGTGATTATATATATTGTATATATTTCATATTGTATTTAAAATACGGTATGCGCTAAATGCAATTGCATTTAAGGGAAAAATATTATTTATTATATGGATATGCCGTTCGTTAGTCTATACGGAAGATACATACAGATTATGATATTAGGAAGCCATAAATGCAATTACAAGTTAATTTTATATGTAATATGTATTCAATAGACACAAATAGAATATAAAACATGCGAAGCTATTAAGCTTTACTGCAAAATATGGATGTAAGATATATAACGATAACTTTTACGTAATGTCGAAATTTACCATTTTACCAGCATTAAAGCTACTAAAATAATAAATTGTTATAATGTATAAATATTAAATACATCCTAACATTTTATATAGAATAAAATAATATTCGACCAACACCAATATATAAAAGCGCAGGTATATAGGTACATGTGATAATATTTTCTACTATGTACCTAAAACGCCACAAGCTTTGGATGGGGTGCAAAGTCCTTTTTTTGGGTGTCGGGTTGCCATTATATGCATATATTTTATATTTTATTCAGCACTGGCAACACCGAGGAGGCAAAGCGTACAGGTGGGGTGTACATTGCGTAAGCCTCTTTACATTACTTACTGGTAGGGGGTTCTTTCTTTTCATAAACGACTCTACCATCTGGTCCTTTGCAATTGAAACAAAATTTAACATTTAGTTATCATCATACTATAAGTTGTGGCGTTACTTGCTTCTCACATTGATAGAACGAACTAGGTCACGTGACGAACATCCTAAGAAACTAAGATAATTTGAGAGGTAGGACGTAGAGTTGAGTATACGAACACATTTGTATTACTTTTTTTTATTTCTTTTTCGCTGACGACAAAAACCCAAACTATACATCCATCTCTCGAATGTATTACGACCTCCTGTGAGCTTACCTTCTTGCACGTCGATCCCTTCAGCCTTAAGCAGTTCCCGTAGCTTGAGTATTTCTTCTTTAAGCTCCCTGATGAGTTTAGCGTTGGCATCTTCATTGACAACAGCCTTGCAAACAATCTGCTTGGCTCGATCAGCGTATCTAATAGCAAATATTAAGTTTTATTGTTTTTACCCGTTCTTATCAGGTATATATTATTTTACTTCTTCTACCTAGCAATTTCCCAGCTATAGCCAGGGTCATTATAGTTATTATTATTAGTCATATATATTATTTTACATCGGAAATTATCTATCAAATTTACTAATAAATAATAGATTTATTGTACGTAACATTTGATTATTTTTTTTATTTATAACTTTTTTTTTTATTATTTTATTGCACAATTTACCATTGATTGATTGATTGACTCATCATAAATCATCATCTCACCTGAGTGTACTGAGCGTTTCGTCGTAATTGATATCAGCTGGTGATATGGCAGCTATCATAGCTGTTTTTGAGTTACCGCCGAGGTTCTCTCTCAACAGCCATGTGAGGACAGAGTCGCGGTATGGTATAAAGTCTGCCTTCTTTGATTTCTTGCTCTTTGACGCCTGTATATCATAAAAAATAATTTAGAAATGCGACTTAGAAAGCAGTGGAGAGATTCCAAGCATATGAGAGTGAACATTTTAATCACTATGAATGTTTTTCGTATATTTCATATGTACATTCATGAATGATGACAAATGTGCATGTGATGACTATGTAAGCACAGATATACAATAACGGTATAGATCTTGACCTTATATTAGTAACTTCATTATAACTCAAATCAAGTCAGACTTAGACTACAAAATGAATGAATATTTTATATAATGTAATCTTATGATTTTTTTATTATTAAAATACATATAAATATATCAAAATAAAATCAAGATCTCGACCAACGAACATATAAACCAAACATCCGACTTACCGACTGCACACATCCAAGCAAATGAGATGCAAGGGAAAGTTAGAGAATGAATAAAATGTATTCATAGCATCGGATAGCATGTGATGTGTTGTTAACAGAGTATTCGATATTATTGACATACGTTATTTAGCGAAATATCAGAATGAAGTGATATATATATATAATGTTAGTATAGTAGAATTAAAATTGGTGGGTCCTTTTGGTATAAAGTATAAGCCGCATTTGACTTTGATTTCATTCTATATGAAAATACAATTAAATTGTAAATATAAATTTAAACTCTGTTTTAAATATATTGACACATACACAATAATATACTACCGTACGACAGAAAAATATACCAGACAATAAATAACAAACTCCAAACAAGAACTCAATACTAATAAATTAAAACACACACACACATACACTACAAACTTCTAAATTCTATGTTTTATAGTTTTGACACACTGAAACCTCCACATGAATCCTTCTTCAAGGATTACAAAAAAAATGTAATAATCACCAAAAAAAAGGAAATAAGACAAAGTATTCCTATTGGTGGAAGTGTTTCAGTGTCGATTAATAGCCAATTACAAAACAGATATATTAACAACCAATCACAAAATTAGAAACACGAGTAACGGCTTTAAAAATCAAATTGAAGAGATCCTATTGGTGGAAATATTTAGCTTCATGGACTAGGGCCGTAAAAAACAACTTACAATCTCAGCGAGCGCGGAAATGACTTTCCCAAGAGTGGTGAGTGACTTATTGATGTTAGCGCCTTCTTTTAGACGAGTTCCCTTCGCCCCAGTGGAGTCCGCGCGCTCAGAACCAGCAAGATCCACCAACGAAATCTTTGATACCTGGATTAAGTATGATAATGTTAAAATAATGCTATTCTATATAAAATATCTTCTTCTTCTACCTGGCAATTTCCCAGCTTTAGCCAGGGTCTGCCTTACATGTTGTGAATTGTTTTGGTTAATTGTTTTTACGACCGGCCGCCTGCCTGACATCAACCCTCTTTGGGAATTTCTATATAAAATATATATATATATATATATATAGCAGAAAAATCATTCTGATATATATTTTTACTCTTTATCATACTGCCAAAAAAAATTTGTATGAAAAATTATTTTATCATAAAGTAAAAAGTATAGACAAAGAATATCACAGATATTAGTACAATCATACTCAATTTTGGTTTAGGGAAAGAAAAAGATCGTCTTTTATCCTTAATTATGTTCCTAAAAAAATATCCTATGTATTTTAATTTCCTAAACATAACAACGATAGGGTTTCTAGCATAAAAATAGTATATCATAATATAAGGAGTAAAGACAAAGAATATAAAAGATATTAATAAAATCACTCACAATTATGGTATACAGAAAAGAAATGCCGTTGAATTTGATAAAAAATCTAAATAAATGTAACAAATTACCTTTTCAGAAACCAAATTGGTTGTTTTGTCGTGTCGCTGTTGCGTGAAAAATATCGTGAAGACGGCGTGAGAGCGAGAAGATGTCTCGTTCATGTTGGTTGCAGCAACCGTCCTGTACAACAAAGAATTAAAGATTCAAATTCAATGTAAACACCCATTACCTACATCTTTCTTCTTCTACTTGGCAATTTCCCGGCTATAGCCAAGGTCTGCCTTACATGTTTGTGAATAGTTTTTTTTTATGACTGGCCGCCTGCCTGACATCAACCCTCTTATGGGAATCAGCATTAATCAGTGATGTCTAAATATTCTTAGTAAGTACATATGACTCGGAAAAATCACATCGGTACTTGCCCGGGCCAGAAACGAACCCGCGACCTCGGCAACGAGAGGCGGGCCCTCTAACTATTAGGCCACCACTGAATTTGACCCATTACCGACATCTTTGTTTGCCAAAAATCACTTAGTTTTACTTTACTTATATTTTAAGGTACAAAACCAATAGGGCTTACAAAATCCATTTAAAAAAATGTAAAGAAATATTGCCATATTTCTTTTTGTTTATTAACGCAAGTCATATAAATAGTGTAAAGTGCGCGTAGTTAATATCAATCAGACATTTATGTGTGGGTGTGGCTTTATCTGTGTGTGTTTATATAAAGGCAATAAAAACCCTGAAGGCTTATTGTGATATAATTAACAAAGGAGCTTACGATGCCGCATCACGCAATAGCTTCTACAATATTTATTGTTACCCATATAATGAATAAAACGGGCGTTTTATTGGAAAAAAACTATGGAGTGGTATAATTTTTTGAGGTGATAGAGCCTAGCTGTGGTCAGTTACTATAGGTCGAACATGGGCTGACTCGACCGGGGAAGTACCCCTTCCCACAGAAGATCGGCGTGAAGTAGCCTTTAATGGCTGCGATTCGTCCGATGAGTGAGAGAGCCGGTTGCCCTTTCCTTATTCAAACCCTTTCCTACTATCCTTAGTCCTACCCCTCTCTATCCCTAAAAAAACAAGGTTGGCAACGCATCCACAACAAAGATGTTGCGTATGTCCAAGGGTGATGGTAACCACCTTCCATCAAGTGGGCCGTCTGCTGGTTTGCCACCTTTAACATTACATAAAAAAGGAGTTATTGATGTATAGTATGAACCTGGCTTTATTTCCTTCGTCGATGAGATCGTATATATCCTGGTAGGACATCACTGCTAGCTTGCTGAGGTCCTCTACGTAAGGTCCTAAAGCTGGGTGCTCACGAACACGCAGATTGCCTTTATTCTTCGGGTTCAAAAGATCACGTACTCTCTCGCAATATATCTCCATATAGGACACTTCCACCTGCGAAAACAATGGACTTTAAACTAGACTGTTACAGAAAAGGACATATTCTTGTATAAAAGAATTATTTGCAAAAACAATGGACTTTAAACTACGGAATAGGACATATTCTTGACGATGTGTTAGAAATCTTAGAACTGTTTTATCAATAAGTATATCTTTGATTTATATGCTCAAGTTATGGTTGTACAAAAACTATTTCCAACTATCCTCTAATGCTAAAATTCCCATATGCTTCAGAATATTGGAATAAGTTCGCCACAAAATACTAACCGAATAAGTAAGATCTTCCGATGTCGTTTGTCGAATACGTCGGAACAGATCCTTACAAATCTGAGGTATGATGCCCTCTTGAGAATCCTCTCCACGGCCCATCATAGTGTAGGATTTACCAGCACCAGTTTGGCCATACGCGAAAATGCATATATTGTAGCCTATAAAAGATATACTATTGTAACAACCCCTACTTTGGTATTAGAATTAAAAAAAATCGTCAAAAAGATAAAAAATATATATGAAAAAATAATGAAAAATATTCTCAAAATATAGACAATCTCAAAGTATGGAATTTAGATTAATGTCCATATAATTAAAAAATTAACATTAATCATCGTAACTGTTTGATAATATTGAATAAATAATTGAATTATCTCTCAATATTCATATTCATATATACATATATAGGGATGAATTAATGGATTTTTATTGTATAAGTAAAGATATAATAATGATCGCACCATCGAAGGCATGTTGAAGCATTTCTTCGCCGATGTCCTTGTACACCATCACTTGAGATGAGAATTCTGGATCACTTGGCTATAAGATAAGGGAATTATAATTAACATACGATTATGTATTTGAATTTTAATAGATTTTTTAATTTAATGTAAAATCTAAATAAAAGAGATCTATATTTATACAGGGTGACTGGTGAATTACTATCGATACTTGAGGACGTGATATTTGACGATCATATATGACAAAATAAAAATTAATATAACATAAATATTAATAAACTTCGAAGTAAAGTTAACCAAAAGTTATCTAATTAATTACGCATCGTGTGAACACCCTACAGATTAGGTATACACACACACTCACACTTACGCGAGCGGGGCGTGGTGTTGTATCAGCACGCCGCCGCACGCGTCCACACTTGGAACACTTGGAACGTGTCAATACTTTATTTATTTTTACGGAAATTTTGTCAAAAATTAAGTGCCAATTTTTTTTTACATAATTCGAATGAGAATCATGTACCGAGTATGCTCCTTAAATATTGATAGTAATTCACCAGTCACCCTGTATATCTCTGGACCGAATTGTGAATTTATTTTAAATATACGATTTAATATACATAAAAGAATTCAAGGAATAAAGAATATACCACAATTATAAAGAGTATTTTTAATTACAATAAATCTTATTATCAGCTGTTAATACTTATGTAATAGTTTAATTCAATTTAGTTCCATTTGAAATATAATAATTTTACACGATCAGTTGCTAGTTACATTTAGTTGAAAATCATTTTGTAATTTTTAAACAGAAACTAGTACAAGGTTAAAAATACGAAAATTATAACATTCTAGAAATGACTCTTAAAGTTTTGTTAAAATAACAATATTTAGACATCTAGACTTAGCATAATTATAATATGGAACCCTTATTATGAAATAATTCAAATCAAATGTCCAAAACCAAAGACAATCTCCACAGATTATTATGACAGAACAATGTAGCCCGCAATCAATGTATTGTAATCTTGTAATGTCCATTCCTGAACCGAACCACAGAACGAACCATTACCAAACCTAATGGAAATCGTGACACGAAATTAATTGTCACTGAGATTGAAATCATGCGGTTAGAATTAATTTAATTTTATTGAAAACAAAGATTATATTGATATTCTATTAATTTCATGAAATACAAATAAATATTTCAAACATTTTCTACTCTTCTACCTGGCAATTTCCAAGCTTTAGCCAGGGTCTGCCTTACATTTTTGAATAGTTTTGGTTAATTGTTTTTACGACCGGCCGCGGCCTGACATCCACCCTCTTTGGAAATGCATTAATCAGTAATGTCTAAATACTCTTAGAAAGTACATATGACTCGACAAAATCACATTGGTACTTGCCAGGGCCAGGATCGAACCCGCACCCTCGTGCATGAGAGTCGGGCCTTTTAACCACTAGGCCACCACTGACTTCAAACATATTCTACTAAATCAATATTTTAAAATGATTAACTCATTCGACTACTCGTATAAGTTTATAGAAACAATATAACACAGTATCCTGTTAGTAGATTGTATAAAACAAATTAATGATTTCAACGTAATACATCATTATATAAAGTAAATAAAGATTGGTATTAGAAACCTTACATTTTTTATACAACAGAGCCTTTAGCAAATATCTAATCCCTTAATCGCGTTGACAATAGATCCAATATGGCTGCCAGAAACGAAATGTTCTGAGTTGATAAATCCATTTAATTGTAACGAAGGTTATTATACATATAATATTATACGAATATTCTAGAATGTTGTTCTACAGTAATTTATTGTTATTTAAGTATAAATTCTATATTGTATTTCAACATAGAAGAAGTTAAAATAAACGATGTATCAATTCAAATTATACGTAAAATTGCTTAAATTTTTTATATTATGTATTATGCTATTTATACGCAGTTACTTTATTAAAAACCATAACGAAATTAAACTAATTTTTTTTGAAAACTAATCGTTTTTCATTATTTTATTTCTACACGTTTCCGAACTTTCGATTATTTTTCAGCAATCATAAAAGTGTTCACAATAAATTGAATATAATAAAAATTCTACATCTACTACTATATGTTGTTACCTTGTTATATTTAAATGTGAATCTAATCTTAGTAGTTAATATTTGATGTGTAATTTGAAACTTAACAACCAATCGTAGTACATTTCCTGACGCTATCTCCTCTGTTTGCAAAGGAAATGAAGCTTTAGGGGCAATCTCACGGTTTATTGCTTAGGGATTGTATACACGGCGAATGTACCTTCTGACAACTCTAAGGCTTCTCAGACAGACGCAATCAATTTCAGTAACCTAAGACTTTATTGTTTAACCGACTTAAAAAAACATGTTATATGCTATGATGAAGGTTGCAACGAAAAATAGATGTTTTTTGGTAACTATTGCTTTTATTCTTATGACTTTTTCTACGTGAATATTAATTCGTTTAGAAAACAATTAAATTTATACTTGATATCCTTATTTCACGTATAATTATTGTTATTAAAATAAATAAAGATATATGCTGAATTGTAATAATTTAATTTGATTACCACCGACCTATTTAATTATGAAGTTACATAGTATTCATTTAAAATAATATACTTACGTTATGTGACCAGTAGGAGAAGTCAAAGTTGAAGCTTTTAGCGCTTTCCTTGTTGTTCGGAGGCAGTTTTGGATTTATTATGACTGAAACAAAATTGTATACATTAAATACTATCAAACAAAATTAAATGGTAAGATAATATACCAAGGCACTCTTATATATATATACTTCATGAAAGTCATCTTAAAATAGCTCAAGTCTGCAGCTATACGATTTTTATTAAATGCTTAAACAAGTCCTTATACTCCATAAAATCTAATGTCTAAATTATGTATTAGTAAGTTTTCTTTGTTAAATGTACCGTTTACGAGCGTCGCTGAGTCGAGACGTATCGACCGATGTTAGTCTACGTAGTGAAATATTAAGAGACGTACAAAATAAATTTATATGAAATATATAATAGATTGAATATACGCAGATTGAATATTAAAGATAATATAATACATTATTACATATATTTAACTATTAATAAGTTAATAAGATCTAAGACTTTCGAGTTTTATACGTTTAAATTAAACTAATATATTTACTTTGTTTAAATTAAACTAACATTTTTACAAACTCGTCAACCCGATGTAGTTTTTTACAAAAATTAAGTCGCGTAGTATAACCGAAAAATGTTAGCTTTATTTAAATTAATAAGTTAATAATGAAGACTTAGAATATTATTTCTTGATATAATATACTTCGTTTTATATATTTATATGATACATATAGTATAATCCTCAAATAACATCACTTAAGACATCTCAAAGAGAGACGAGTCAGATAGAAAATTCAAGTGCACATTAAAAATTTCTTAAAGCAAGCGTTAGTATTTTACGACGCAGCATCGCTGCATCTACCTGAGACGAGATAAATTAATTTCATCCACGGAGATGCACTTTTATGGACACTTAAATCGGTAATGCCGTGTCGGTTTTAAACATTTTACAATCTCATCGTGTTTACCGGAATTATTTACAAGAATATATCTCAAATGAGAAATAGACTTAACGTATATGTGCCTTGGAATCTTCTTCTACCTGGCAATTTCCCGGTTATAGCCAGGGTCTGCCTTACTTGTTGTCTATAGTTTTGGCTTATTGTTTTTTTACGACCGGCCGCCTGCCTTACATCAACCCTCTTTTGGGAATCAGCATTAATCAGTGATGTCTAAATATTCATAGAAAGTACATATGACTCGGAAAAATCATATTGGTACTTACCCGGGCCAGGATCGAACCCGCACTCTCGGCAACGAGAGGCGGGCCCTCTAACCATTAGGCCGCCACTGACTTTTATTATATGTGCCTTGGAATATTGGAATGTAAAATAATAGTTCATTTTCACAGTATGTAAAAGTAACATTATTTCCTAGTTTTATATAAAGTAATATTTGAATACGGTCAATAGAACTACTTCTTAGGTTAGATATTCCTTTTCGATATTTCAATTTAATATTTATGTTACAATCATATTTATTTATGTAGACTATATTTTTTTTACTTCCATAGATGTTATAGTGATATCAAAATAACTATCAATGTATAAACATATAATATAAATAATATAATAATAAGTTCTTCCCTGGTTCGTTCTTTTCATGCTAAGATCACCTTTTCAAAAGCCGTCTGACCTAGATTTCTAGGTCTTTGTTCTGAGACACCTAACATAAAATAACTCGTTAGTAGTATCATTTAAAACTGTTCTTTTTGTTTTCAACCTTTTTCTTAATATTTAAAGTAAAATCCAACATTAAAAACACATTTAGATATGATATGAATTATAATAATTGAGAAAGTAAAGAGAAAAGTCAAAATTAACCCAAAAAAAAGACGTTCTTGTAATTATTATTCATAGAAACCAAATATTTTAATAAGAGAGAGGCGTGTGATGGTAAGTGGTGTACATTTGAGAATAATTCAACAAAAAAAAAATGTTTTAGTAGTTTTAAACCATTTTATTAAAATAAATATACTGTATGTACTCAATTTGTAATAGCCAATCTACAATCTATAAATATTAGAGGTTCACGTACGGTTATAAAATGTAAGTGCTGTAAAATATCGTTTTATAATAGCTCTGATCGTAATAGGACCACGTTCTGGGTATTAGCGAATACATACATACAAGCGTCCCGAGTTTTATGTTCGCGATACACATATATACTACATTAAACCATTGTATATTTACTTCGACTATAGACGATATAATATTATTCTTCATAAAATATGTAATTTATATTAATTGAAGTATTTAAAATTATTTTAAAATTAGTGTCTGTGTTTAGTTATTACCTACGAAATGATGTATGCATATGTACATATAAGGCTTTTGTACATTTTTCGTCTATATGTATCTATGAATTGACAACTTCCATAAAACTATATTAATAGTCTTTCTTATTTGTAAAGATGAAAAATAAGAACATTAACAATCTGTACTAAAATTACATTAATCAATCTTTAGAGTACAATTTGTCGAGACAAATGTAATGCTTGAATACAATCGAAGAGTACAAAAAATTCAATACAGTTTTATTTGTATTTTTTTATCGACCAATACACTTAAGTTAAATTTAAGTAAGATATGATTCGTTTGTTGTTAAAATGTGATTGTAAGCCTGTTTAAGAGTCGTCTCACTTCACCGATGTCTTTACTACAAGTTTCTTTGGAGAAACTAATCAGTTTTCACGATGCTATCGAAGGGAGTTATAGTAATCTAGAACTGAAAACTAGCTGTTTATAGTTTAAACATGCAAATTTGTGATAGGAAGAGATATAACAATACTAAGGATAAAGTTTAGATTCCTTCAAACTATATAGCGACGAGACGAAACTTTTCATCATTCAATGTATTCACCGTGCGGGTGCCGGGTCCACCGTTGCAGGGAGAGGAGCTTCAACAGTGCCTGGGACTTGCGACCCAGGTGTAGGTTTAAAGGACCCCTATCTAAGGTGTTAAACTCTCACCTCCACTGTCCAAGCTTCTCTCCCTGCCTAACCAAATTTGAAAAGACAGTAGAATTAAGAAATTGGTTAAAATCAACAAATTACTGCTGATATAAATAATAATACCGAAAAATGTGTCTATTCCATCAAATAAATGAAAATAATAACGCATCCATTTTTAATTTCAACGCCCATATATTACTTTAAATTGAAACTAAAGATTAAAAAGGCTAACTAATCCTCTTCGTTGTTTTGTTTCAACGGTAAATTGTAATTAAAACTTGTTACTTTCTAACCGTGATTTATGTTAATTAAAATAATCCACTTGCTTTCAGAGCACCTCTTTAATGGCACGACGATTTGAATTACTGAGCCATGTTTGTCCGATTTTAAGAAAGATTTAAGTAAATTAAAAACAAATTAAACATCATTTCCATTTCTAAATTTTTCCTTTAATATTCCTATACTTTTAATTAATTCCTATTTTATTCTATAAATTTTATGAATCGAAAAAATTAGAAAGTTTTAACAAATAAGTATTCTATTTAGATTATTATTATTGATATCTATAAATCATGCCTTTTCCTGTTGTCCTCTTAGATATAAAATAACTAATTTTGATTTTTTGACGAAATAATTTGACTACATTCTTGTAGTATTTAAAATTTAAATCATTGTATTTTTATTATTAAGTTTGGTAATAAATAAATATTATGACAGCCAAAAAGAATAAAACATAACAGAAAATATTAATTGTTGATCTCAATTGGGCTTCGAAAATAATTTATCATTAATACATTTGACATATTAAACATCAATGTTAAAAAATAAAACAAAATTTCGAGCCATTTTGTTGGTACAAAAATCATCTTTGTTTTCTATACATTATAAAAACGAAGTAAATTTTCCATGTAATTGAATTGAACTGCTCATAAAAATGATCCCCAACATTGCGTGCGCTAAACGAAAACATTCGCGTGTATTTTACAAGATAATAATATAATGATTCCCGTACAAGTGTACTCCATGATAATGAGGACAATTTTGAATATACCAGTATATCAAATTGTAAGGCCGATACACATAGTCGGAAGTAATACGGACGGGTTTAAGGTAATATTCATGTATACGACATTTTTAGTTAATTTTATTTTTTTAACTATTTGTTAAGGTACGTTTTTCAAAGAAAAAAAGACTTATAGTATTTTTAAAACAACTAAGAATTTTTTTATATTGATTATTTTGTTTTTATTTGGCTAGTATATACATTTTGATATAAAAAGGTTTTCTTGGTAACACAAAAACTCATTGACAAACATCGGTCTGATACTAAAAATTTGAAAGTTTAAGCCGACCTTCACTGACTGGGCAATAGAAATAAATTAAATTAACTCATTTGATATATTATAAAAGTATTCAAAAGGTTTTTAACTCCTGAATCATATAAGTTACAGATTATAATTATAAACTTTGAACATTTCGTATCCGTCCACTTTACGAAAATTATTTGCTGACATAGCATAACTGAAACCATAGAAATTTATCTATCGTAGACAATAAAACATTTCAGACCAAACAAAACCATAAATACAAAAACCCCATTTCTAATATTGGCATACACCCAAATGTGAAAATTAATTTTATTATACTTTAAAGAAGCCAAGAAAATACAATCTCAACATGAATATTAATGTAATTGAACTGCAACAATATTATTGAAGAATCCTATTGTTATATACGTACAATATATACTTATATACCTATCAATATTATATTATGTAAAATAAAAACTCCATAAGCCCATAAAGTTCTTAAATAACCCATTATTATTCACTAGCGTTCCATTTATTATGAAAAGCTTCTGTAATGAGGAAAAACGCTCCAGTTTATGTAAACGTCACTCCTTATTACTTACATAGAGAAAAGTTAGTATAAAATTACTTAACACATATATGTACGTAATAGAACTTTAGGAAGAAATTTTGCTTCATTATAATCTCTAAATATTAATTTATAGGAATTTCTAATAAACCAATTAGACTAATTAATTTTTTTCGCTATCTCGTAAGTGCGATGCTTGAACCAAGACGGTAAGCTAAGTATCCTTATGCAGGTGAAGACAAAGCATCCTTGTAGTCATATCTCACCTGTAGTGTTGCCAGACATTTCAATGATGCACTTGCATTCTCTGGCTATCTCGCGAGAGTTAAAGGGTCGAACCCTCACTGCCACCTTCACTGACGACATGGCTGAAGATTTAGTCGCCGCTGCTTAAACCATGGATGTACCCAAGATGGCCCTGATGACAAAATTAACAACTATCAGACATTTAATATAAATATATTACTTCGATTTTAGGTAAAACTTCAGTTCCGCACTCCTCAATCAAGATAGATTTCAAATGCTTACCAGAATTATATTTCAATTTGTAATATTACATAATTAAGCGACAAAAATTTTAAGTAATAGTAATTTAACAAAAAACTCGTTACTATATCTTTTAATCAAGTAATTCATTGAATAATTAAGATTTTAACAATGTTAAAATATTGTAAAACTACGTCAGGGTGCAGTTACGTCACTCATAGTGAAACTAGGAAATAATTCACAGATACTTTAACATTTTTAATAAGACAGCAGAAGAGTTACATTGTAGACATAGTGTGGATTTAGGTTTTATTAACACGAACATTGTACTGTTATTTTTGCAACAGATTGCCATAAAATGTATTATGTATACATATTTTTGTTGTTGTTAGAAAACCATACTTAAAAATAAGTCAAGAATTCATTAATTAAGATTTTTTGTTATTATTAATTCAAATAGTACATTGCAAATGTACAAATTCTGTTACTAAATCGTAATAGATTAAAATTTTGTCATAAGAAAATTTATTGGACCCAAAACAACAATACATTTGTATTCATATCATTTCCAACAACATTTTCCTGTTTCACTTCAGTACAGATTGTATATCTTTGTCTAGTTTTTTTTGTAAACCAGATTATTAATATAATGAAGTATTAAATTGACGTTCCAATTTTAAATAGATAAAATAACGAGATCCGTTAGCTGATTCAGTCACGGTCCGACAGGCAAGTGGCGCACGCGCCGGCTGCTCTATCATTTAGGTGCTAAGGTCATCGATCATTGATTTTTTCATTATAAATAAACCTCCATTTTTTTTCTATTTATATTATTATTGAATGTATTCGGAATTGGTAACTAGATTGTCCTCAAAACTGTTCATTTTGCTGTACATTTAATAAATTCTTGTAATGTATCGATTGATTCTAAATTTGTGTCACTGTCACATACTGAAAATATATGCGCAGTAGATTTTTAATATTGATTAAACGATCAGTTTCACGATTGATAATACATTATAGCCAAGACATATCCTACTACCCACCGCTCAAAAACCACGAGAAAATATGAAAAACACTAGAATGATTAACTTGGACACTAAACTATCCGGATTCAGGAACACTTTCACAACTGAAGAAAAATAATCCACGGGACGGTTTCAAATTGCGTAATATTTGAATAAAACACATTAAACCGAAAAGATAACATTTCTTCGAGCAGCTAGAACCACAGCCGCTGGCACAAATTTCGCTAACAAAATGGTGATTGTTCCCTGAAAGCGATCCTCGCGTGCCGTAATTGCCAACGGTTGGCTGACCACCGTCTCGAAAGTGGCGACCTCGGAGCCGCTGCACTCCTCACGCACTTACGTAACATCCACTGCAACCTACATCTTTCATATCGAAAACGACTTCAGATCGAAACGGCGGCCATGAGAACGTGTCGCAGAGATGACTCACCGCGCCCACTGGCGCCATCTGCACCTCGCACGCCGTGGGGAGCGAAAAAACGAAATCAATCCGACTTACCCTGTTAGACGGGGATATGAATACGGTGCAGTTTTGTTTTCTGAAATGTTATTGGGCGCTCCGGTCAAGTAGCAACGTGGGTCGACATATCGTCGCCGACGGCTCCGCGGTGCGACTGCGGGCTGACGGCGAAGGCACCGGCGGAAAGGATTCCGCGCATGCGCTCCTACAAGCAGCCGCCTTCGATCTAGAACCGTGATGCGCGAACAGCACCACGCGCATCGCACCGCAAATAACGTTAACAAATCGACTATCCGACCATTTTAACTGTAACTCCCAGAGCGCTGCTGAATTGAACCTAATTACTGTACATGATTATTTTTTTTGCCACCTCCTCTGGCATATTGATGGTTTGTACGGTTTAACGCCTACGCTTTTTCATTAGATATAATTTCATTATAGTACTTGAATTATTTAATGATTATTAACCACACAGGTAGGTGTGGACACTACTACGTCTTATGATACGTTGATTGATTAATATAAAATAAGGGTGTATTAATGTCAAAAATTTATAAAATTCTATTAAACCTAAACGATGATAAATAAATAGAGTATTTATTTACTATAGTACTTAGGTTGAAATGTTCAACATAGTGTTAAAATATTTCATGAATTAATTGAAATGAATTGTATAAGGCAATTACTTTTGATATATATCACTCATGTTAACTAACGGTCGTACATCACGCATTGTGAGGGTATTTCGTAATGTAAATGACTCCAACGATCTGAACAGCACCCTGTATACGGATCACGTGCGCTTTGATTTCAACCAGCCCATCCACTTGACGGCTGATAGAACTTATTTCAGCTTCGGACTGACCGAAAATATTTGAACAGGTGAACCCTTAAAGTAAGAAATCTATATAAAGAATAAAATTGGACTGACTGTTTGTTGTGATAAAATACCTGCTTTTAACTATGCATATAGATTTTATGAAGATTTTCACTGATGTAAGAAGGTGTAACGTAAAGTATTTCTTTTAGTATATGTAAAAAAATATATTGAGCTTTCTATTAAATCGAAAGCGCAGATAGTAAACAATCAGTAAATAAATCAACTATAGGTAATCTGTACAAATATAGGACAACAAAATATTCTTATTACTAAATAGCACTAAAAATGACTGCTGTCATTCTTAAATGAATTTAATATTAATTATTTCATTAATAGTCTTATATTCTTTTATTATGAAGTTCTTAATATGAAATCATACTCTTATCTTCAGACATATGAAAGCAAATGTTAATCTTAAGAAACGGGAATTGAAGGGACAGAGATCAAACCTTTAAGTTCTCCCCAAAATAACGTATTGAGGTTTCTTCAAATGCGAATATTGTGTTCAATTAAATCAAATCGAAAGCTTTAGCCCAAAAAATACGTCACAAACTTAACAAGAGATAAAGAACATAATTTAAATTTATTACAAGGATTATAAAATAAATTACCCAAAATTAACATTATATCCACAAATAAATCTCAATAAGGGTTTATAAACAACAAACTCACTTCCAGTGCCCATTATACTTTAATAAATTGATATTCACTCTCTTAAACCTGCCTTATTTCCAGACCGAAGAACTTTTGTATTATAAAATTGTTTACAATTTCCTGAAAAATACACCTAAAAATTCCAAGTACACCATAATAACGTCAATGAATTTCGCCCAAATTTAGACACGAGGGTCAAGGAACGCATGTACGCACCAAATAATACGAAAGCTATGACGCAATTTACTATCGATTGATTCCTGACTGCTCATTCCAGACTTAAAATATTTAGATGAAACATTCTGCTTGGAATGTTCTAGATGTATATAGTTTCTAGATTCTATATATCTATGACAATCTTTATAACACTAACTCTGGTCAATGAATTTAGTTTTCAAAACAGAATGAAACGTAGAAGTTTATTTATTCTTAAAGCATTTGTAAAATAATACTTTTGAATAATATACTAAAAAAAATAGCATGCTTTATAAACCCATTTAAAGCCGAAACAAAAATATAAAGCTACAAAACAATAGAATTTTATCCTATAGGATTAACTTTAAAGCTATCACAATGTGTATGAAACAAAAGAAAACAATTTGGTTTGAAACGATCTGTTATTCTTTTGCTATATATTTTTTTTAACATAGCCTTAAATTTTCTCTCTGACGTCACCGTTTCAAGCAAGTGATTCAGAAACTTCCAGGTTTTATAGTATCGATCGTGACTCAAACAGTGAAGCCTTTCAGCCAACAATACTTGGCAGCTGTGTTAAATGTAGTGATTAATGGATTTTGGGACGTCAATACAGTTTTACTTTTAACATACAATGGATATATTTTTTGAATGGATAAAGTTTTAAATCACGATAAAAATATAATTATAACTTACGTGTATAATCGATTATTTTGAATTTATTAATAAATTTGACATTATGATATGACATATATGAAATTATGTATTTACGGTACTATATACTTCTACTAGTGGTCTGCAAATACAATATTATTTTGACTACATCACCAATAAAAATATAGGTACTCTTACAGAAAATAACTTATTGTTAAAGCTGATGTTATTTTTAACTAATTGCCAATCATCAAGTTAGTATAAAGCTTCTTCCTTCAACCAAACGCCCTTAGGGAGAAAAAACATCTAAAAAAAATACAGGTGGCCATACTACCCACTTAAAGCCATTTCGAATATCTTTGTAATTCTACAATAACCCTTGCCTTAATTATTAATCAAAACGCTCCTTTTATTATAATTTTTACACCCACACCAAATAGTACTTTTTTATAATATTCAAATTGTAAATTTTATCAGAAAAACCTAAATGCCAATGCCAATTGCTTTGAAATTATATTTTACGTAATATTACCAAAAGAAAGATACCGATAAAATAATCGTAATTAATTATTTTAAAATAGATATTGATTGTAAACAAATGAGTTATGTTTTCTTTAGTCACCAAACACGTAATTCTAAACAGACACATGTTTTCAATTTGTATATCATGACTTTATTCATTGTAAAATAAACAATAATATTGAAGTCATGTTAGTCCCGGCGGCTTCAACAACAAATATTGGTTTGAAATTGAAGTTCCGATGAAGTTCCCCTCCCTATTCCCAGCGGAAGGTGAGCAAGCATTGTTTGATGAAATTTCTAGAATACTGACCCAGTTATAAGATAACATAACTATTTATTATACAACTAATTCTATAGTTATAATAAATTGACTTTTAATCAATAAACTATCCCGCTTTGTCTTTAAATTTTACTTTAAATTATAAAAATGTTCTATTACGACCAAATTTTTCCATCCCTACTAATATTATAAATGCGAAAGTAACTCTGTCTGTCTGTCTGTTACGCTTTAACGCCTAAACCACTGAATAGATTTTAATTAAATTTGGTACAGAGATAGAGTTGACCTTGAGAAAGAACATAGAATAGTTTTTATGCCAGACTTTTGAAAGGTTTTCTTGGAAACGCGATATAACCGAACCTTGCATGAACCATGCATTTCTTTAAAATAATTGAATTAATACGGGACATGTTCACAACTTATATACACGAAAAAACACTTATATGTATATATTTCTTCGTTTACATAATATCCTTGTACCATCTATATTGCTTCCTTTTATTGGTACAAAACTCAGGGCTGGCTTAATACTTCCGCTAGAGGTCAGAAAAGGTCTTATTGGCTGACGCGACCCTCAAACGAAGGCTTCATATGGATGCAATCGAATAATTTGTAAACTAATGAAACCTTAATACACATTAATCTTTTATCTGGATGCCAATAAACTATTTTTGAACTCAAATGATAACATTCTCATATCTCACTGTATAAATCAAATGCATTTTAGTTGTAACAAAACTTTACTAATAATAATTCATCAAAATAATGTATACCAGATTCATTGGTACAGGATAATTAAATTAAATCACATATGTACATTTATATTTTTACAACATTCCTATATAAAAAATATAATACCATCGCGTCCTAGTTTCAACGTAATGAATACAGATTAAAGATATATTAATGATGACACATATCATATTCATTTTATGATATGATATCCATATACGATATGCGTAATTTATAAAGGGAAAAATAGACATACATATTATAAAGAAGCAATTTAGACAAATAGATAAAATCTGTCTTCTTGTCTAATCTCTAGCTACTTATCACGTGAACAACCATTGTTATACAAAAGAAATACACCGACACAATGCTCTTAAGATGAATCTCAAGTCAACAGGGATTATCGGTCGCCGTTATAAAGATTACGCTACATCTGTTTCACACTTTCATCCGACTAGAAATTATAAGCGTACTGAAATGGAAATAATTCTCACACATTGAGAGAAATATAAAAAAATATCAAAGATTTATTCCAATATAGACTATATTCTTTCAAAGCCATGAAAAATTCTGTTGAATTTTTTTTTGGTATCGATTTAAACATATCATTTGTAATTTGATTTTGTTCCTATTGTCTTTATAATGTGTTTGGGTGAGCTATATTATCTGTCATATATAAAACGAGTAACACACGGCCGCAGAATCCTTGGATCTCGCGAACAGTTAGCGCGCAAGGTCGCTGTAACACTGAGGGCGTATTGGAATGACCTAAATATCGCAATCCTTGCCAGTATTGCATCGTAAAGGGTAAATTATGTTCCCCACAATAATTCTTTACATTCTTGCACTATATTTTATTTAGTTTTTAGTACCAATACTACTATGTACCCTTCTGATATTATTTACACGACGGTATATATGTTTGGATGTTTGTTGTTCTTCTTAGCAAAAACTACTAAACGGATTTTGATGAAGCTTTACAAGTAATCTTTCTTAAATATAAGGACAGGCTAAAATTTATCTTCGAAATCCATGCAATTCCTGGTGGATCAAGGCGTAACAATTGCAGTATATACGAACTACCGACACTCATATATGTCTATATATATATATATATATATATATATATATATATATATATATATATATGTGTGTGTGTGTGTGTGTGTATATAAATGTGTGTGTATTTACATATTATATATACTCGTACATCTACATTTCGGCACCAGGTTTGTACCGTAGTAACTGTTTTAACTTTTAAAGTATACCTCTCTCTAAACCTAATACGAAATTCATGTGGACAAAGACGCGGCCAAAAACTAGTAATTTAATTTAATATAGGAATAGTAACCCAACATTTAACTTTTACTTTTGAATCAAAACTTTAAATATTTAAGGGCAAGATATTTAAAAAATATATTCCCTTTACTTTCTTAAGTTGATATGTAATAAATATATCAAATTTATTAATTTAATTAAATGACCACGTTTAACTTTAAATTTATTAATAAGCAATTAAGATTCTTAAATTAATTTATATTTTTATTTTCGTTGTTAATTTTTAACTAATATTTAATTTGCTCACAATAAATATTCCTATATCTACATTCACAAAATTTAATTATATCCCGACAGCTCACATATTTTCTCCTTTACATTTCTTATTTTATTCAGTACTATCCGTTTCAAACAATAAATGTATATATCAACAGAATGCTATACGACAGAGCAAGTATAGCAAGATCCTGAGTCTGAACGGGGAAGAGATGATAAAATATTCATGAAGTGAAGATGCCACTACCTCTACAGCATCGACACAACGAGTCTATAGAGAGGCCAATATACAGGGTGACTGGTGAATTACTATCGATACTCGAGGACGTGATATTTGACGATCATATATGACAAAATAAAAATTAATATAACATAAATATTAATAAACTTCTAAGTAAAGTTAACCGAAAGTTATGTAATTAATTACGCATCGTGTGAACACCCTACTGATTAGGTATACACACACACTCACACATACGCGCGCGGAGGCGTGTTGTTGTATCAGCACGCCGCCGCACGCGTCCACACTTGGAACACTTGGAACGTGTACACACTTTATTTATTTATACGGAAATTTGGTCAAAAATTAAGTACCTATTTTTTTTACATAATGCGAATGAGAATCATGTACTGAGTATTCTCCTTAAATATTGATAGTAATTCACCAGTCACCCTGTATATGTATATATATATCGGCGCTATCAGCTTTAATGACTGCTGCAACATGAAAATAACTTGAGCCTGACATCAATTATTATAAACACTCATTAGTATTCATGATTATTGTTAAAAGTAAAACGAAATAAAAGATTGTTTAAAAGGAGAATGGAACTATGTTTGAAACTTGGTACATATAAATATGATTCACGACAGCAGAGTTCAGTGGGTGCGGACCATTGAAGAATGTGATTATGAAGAACCTTCGAGAAATACAAGAACATTTAGAATAATTTAAGTTTTACTTTAAAATATCATAGAACGTATTGGAAGAAGTTACATTAGAGACAAAAGCGAGGCTGGCGTCTCTCTTTAAAATCAACAATTTGTATAAAATCCGATATATACTATATTATACCAATATATGTAGCTTCCTACTATGTTGTTTTATAAGCCATTCATATCTTTCCATATATTTTATTTATAGGATATCTATGTAATATAGAAATTACCTATCGTTTGAACGGAAGTACCCTTCCTACGTGAAGGAAATGTATTTTATAAAACTGCAACAACTCACGCTTCTTGCACAAAGGTCAAAGGTCAGCCACGGGACAATCAATACTCTCAAACACATCCAATAATGTTCAAACAGGATGAATTTAACCAGAAGCGACTCTTATAGTAATGCAACATCAAAAATACTTTAGCCTTTTGTTCGAATTATACTTAAAATTATAATTCGTTCCTAATTCATTAAAATATACGACAGTATTAAGGTTAGTGTAACAAAAAAATAAGTTTGGTGTTTACTTAAAAAATATCAATAATGTATTAAAGTATACAAATTTTTAAATTTTATTTTTACATGTAAATAATATGAAATAAAAAATATAGATATTCAAGATCATCAAGTATAATTCATATGAAGGAAATTAATATATTTTTATCAAACACGAACTGATACGTTGCGTTTGTATATGAACTTATTTAAATGAATTTATATAAATACATTCTATGTAGTAATCAGGTTTTTGAAAATTCATCACTAAGAAAAATTAATTAGATTATAGAAAAGGTCTTTGTAATCATCGGCAAAATCATATTGAATAATGATTAATTGATTATTGAAAAACGTCAGTGGTGGCCTAGTGGTTAAAGGGCCCGCCTCTCGTTGCCGAGGGCGCGGGTTCAAACCTGGCAAGTACCAATGTGTTTTTTCGGAGTCATAATATGTACTTTCTGCGAGTTTTTAGACACCACTAACATACAGTTAATGAAAACATCGTGAGGAAACCTGGACTCATAATTTCACAATTATAAGTTTGAAATCAGCAACCCGTCTTGAGCAAGCGTGGTGATTAATGCTCAAACCTTCTCCATGTGAGAAAGAGGCCTTTGCTCAGCAGTGGGCTCTGATAGGCTGATGACGATTAAAAACGTGTATATGTGTTAGTTAGATGTATGAGTGGCAACTGTAGCGGGTATCTTAATTAATGCTCTGAATATGCAACGACGTGACGAAGGATTTTACAACGATCAAGATTAGACTTTTATAACTGTATTTTGTTCTTCATTTATAACACAAATTATGTAGTGATATAAAACATGTTTTTTTAAAATCGCAAGAATAAAAACAAGTGAAGGAAAGAAAATAGAATATTTTACACCTCTAGGACCCCTTAACATAATTAAACCTAGTACTTTCTGAAGTACTGTCGAGTTTTTAAGTATTTTAAAACTACATACTTCCTATACTTTCTTTATTTTTTTCGGTTACTTTTGCAGCAATCATGATCACGTCGGAAGTATGTAGTTCTAATTTCTAAATAATAAAACGACACAGTACATCCAAAAATATTAGTTTAATTTAAATGAATACTCGCGAAAGTCATATCACGTTATTCTATAACTCATTTTGTCATATCTAAAAATGTTAACTTCAAAATGATATTGCAAGTTTTAAAGCATTCGCGTTTATATTACCGAAGTGGCACACAGCTAAGTGTGCCACGATGCTTTCATCCCGTACCTTTCTTGTTTCATACATTTAATAATGTAACGTTGTGAATTTTTAAAGGCGTACTGACAAAAACAATGATACTTATAATAATGTTTAAACCCTTTAAGCGACTTTGAACTGATGTTTTAATTAAAATACTAATTGGGAGATATGGAATGAAATATTCCCTGACAGGAGCTTAAAATATTATAAATTAATTTAAATTATAATTAATATAAATAGTATCTCAACATTCCTTAAATTTTAAAGATATTGTAATGCAAATTTCATATACATAATTAGTGGTGTTACACATTGTTTTTCTATACCGTAAAATTAAAATAATATTTTAGTATGAAAATATTGTTCAGTAACTTTGGAGTAAGAAAATTTAATAGATGTCATCTTTGTCCTATTATCGGTTATATAAAATGCTTCAACGCTCAACTCAGGACGCGATAGCTCGGTCGGAAAAATAACTATAACGCCTATTTCGAAGGTCGCAGTTTCGAATTCTGCTCGTACCGATAAATTTTTCAGTATTTATCCCTTTATTTGAATTGAAATAATAAAAATGTTATAAAAACAGTCTCCAAAATTGTGGAGCCAACTGTGTAAATAAAAAAGACTTAAGCGAAAGATACCTAAAGTCTTTAAAATATTATTACTTTTTATACAGTCATGTACGTACGTAAAATCAAAGATTATTTGGAAAACTAACTTGTTTTCGTATTTGTTTGTGATATAATACATTATCTTTTATCATTAGGGGTATAGATTACCTATCAGGAACAAATATATATATATAAAGATTTTTCGAAATATATGGAGTCACTGTCAAAATTAATGACTTCGATTAAAATGACATCAAAGTGGGAAATTAATGGAAAGACATTTCTGATAACGGGAGGAGCTTCGGGACTTGGTGCAGCATACGCCGAAAGTTTTCTTGAACACGGAGCTAAGGTAAGGAATTAAAAGCCATAGAAAAAGCAATATATATTTATTTAAATGTCATGGTGGCCTAGAGGTTAAAGGCCCGCCTCTCGTGCATGAGGGCGCGGATTTAAAAACGAGTCATCAGTCAACTTTACGAGTCATATGTACTTTCTAATAGTTGTTAAACACCTATGATAGACGGTGAAGGAAAACATCGTGAGGAAACCTGAACTTTTAAGTTTGAAATTATCAATCCGTCTTAAGCAAGCGTGGTGATTAATGCTCAAATCTCTCTAAGTAAGACGAGGCCTTCGCTCAGCAGTGGGCTCTGATACACTGATGATATGATTTATAAAACTATTATTAAACGCGTATTTTACTTCACAGAAGGTGGCTATAGTGGACATAGATCAGAAAGCTGGTGAGCAATTGAGTGAGAAATTGAACCGAATTTATACTGACAAAGTTGTGTTCATAAAATGTGATGTCAGCAAAGAGAATGAAGTGCAGACTGCCTTTGAACAGTCACTGAAGAGTCTAGGGTTAATAGATGTCATTATTAACAATGCGGGAGTTATGGACGATTCGCCTAATAAGTGGAGAACAGCGACAGATGTTAATTGGGTAAGTATAGCTTAGAAATTTATTAACGTTAATTAAAATTACGGAAACAAACTATGCCCATTGTCAATGTCAAAGAGATCACACCGACCAGACAGTCGACTCAAGCCTTTTTTCTTTTTTTACCAACTACGGATTTCTATAAAGTTTTTGATTGTGACCAATACAAATAATTAATGAACCTAAATCTAGTAATGGAAATATTTCAGGTTTCTTAAGTATGATATATATATATATATATATATTTAATAATTCTAATTATATTCATCGACGAAGTATACGAAAGCAATAAATAAAAAGTGATTGAAATTGGTAAAGTCATTCCTAAGTTAAAATGTTACCAGGAAGAATTGGGATTCATTCTTATATATACACATGGGTATATAGATATATATTTTTATATAAAGTACTAGACAATCCAGTCAACAAATATCGCCATCAGTTACAATCGTTTGGAGTAAATAGATAATTGTGAATGTGACGTAATAGAAAAATAATCTATATCTTCTATATATATAAAAATGGATTGTCGTTCCTTAGTCTCGCTAAAACTCGAGAACAGCTGAACGGATTTATCTTAACTTAGTCTTGAAATGTTCATGGAGGTTTAGGGAAGGTTTAAAAGCTGAAAATAATTGATTCATATCGGGAAAAACCCTAAAAACAGCCCTTTTCTATTTTCCATACAAACGTTTCTTTTTGACATTAGATTCGACAACTAACTAATGTGTCAATCATTCTATTCGATTGAAACAGGAAAAATTTAATAAATACCAATACCTGGTTATTTAAGACGGATTAGAGTTCGCCCGGTGAGCTATACATATATTACTCTTGACCAAACTAACGCGGACGAAGTCGCGGGCAAAAACTAGTATGCAGTAAAATAATATTGCGGCTTTAAATTAAGCTATCCTATCTTTCAAGTTGGATCAAAGTGCAAATTTAAATTAGTTTAAGAGTCTATCGCGAACAAACAACGCGACACGCGATTTATATATATATATATATATATATATATATATATATATATATATATATTACGATATAGTATAGCAGAAAACTAATTGCAAAACATAATAAAGTAATAACTGATAACAAAATTAGGAATTTCCCACCCATTACATACTATAATCTTATCTGTCAGGAGTTAATCCTAATGTATAATAATAAATGTTTTGATAGTTGTACATACTTAGATTAAGAAAAATAATATACGAGCCACAAAATACAGGTTGTATTTGGAAATATAATTAATTGAAATTTGGGAACAAGGACAGAAATATTAGCTGATAGAAGATATGATCATAGATTTTGTTGTTAGAAAGAAACATCATTTCTTCTTATCTTAAGAGTAACCTTTAATACTACATATTTAATTTATTGATTTTTATATACGTATTTCGAGATCAATATGTAAGTTTTTTTAATTCTAGCAAGGTTTGATCTCCTTGACCATGAAAGGAGTGAGCCACATGAGAAAAGACGAAGGTGGTGCTGGTGGTACGATCATTAATATATCTTCTGCGGCTGCATTAATTCCCATGCCTATGCTGCCGATATACTCAGGGTCTAAAGCTGCTGTGCTTCAGCTGAGTAGATCCATAGCGGTGAGTTGGAAAGAAAAAACTATATATTCCAACTTCCATAGGAACTGACCATAAAGATGTTGATAAATTACTCCCGATTTGATTTTTCGATCGGGAAGATATAAGGAATATTTTATAATAATTTCATAACTCTAATGTATTAACAATATGAAGAATTTTTTATGACATCTTTAGAACATAAATAATTTTAAAATATATAAAAATTTGCAGCGAAAGTAAAAACAAGCTTAATATTTCCATGTACCTCAAAAAAAAACTAATATTAATAAGTATAGTCATAAAAACATATGACTGAATTATTTTGTGAGATTACTCCTATTATGAAGACTTTAATATTAGCAATTTTATCAAATGTTATAGTCGCCGGATTTCAATGAGGACACTGGTATCCGCATACTGACTTTGTGTCCCGGAGCCACTGAGACACCGCTTCTAAGCAATCTTGGAGATAAATTCTTCGATACCAAGGTCTCAGAAAAGACTTATGCGAAAGCCCCTCCACCGAACACACAGAGGTATTCAACATTTTATTGCTCAGTTTAAATCAACAACCGAAAGGGCTGTTTACTTGATATATAACAAAAATTTCAGCGTTCGTGCCGTGGTAGAGGCTATGGTTAAAATGTATCGCGAAGGTGCTGCGGGGTCTATATGGCTTTCCCTTTACGATAAACCAGGAAAGGATGTGACCGCGTCGATGGACGCTGCCTACAAGCAGATGGAACAGTTGATTTGGACAGATGAAATGTCAGATTAAAATAAATAGTGAATTAAAAGTATTTCTACCGCATTTTTTTTGTTTAATTCTTAATTTTGATCAGAGATTAGCGATTTCCACACAATACAAAAAATGTAAATAGTATGATCCATACCATCTATCGTCTCTTACACATGACCTCTTACGAAATACAACTGTTATGCCACATTTGCAATTTGAAAAAATTTCTATGTCAACTATACTATTCGAATGTAGAAGACATGTTTTATATAAAATTTTTCAAAATAAAATTGCAACTAAAATAAAAGATCATTCTTATTGGAAACTTTACAAAAAATATATGCGTAAAACGTCACACAAATACTTGTTTTGTAATATTACTGTTTATGTTAATAAAATGTTTTCCATTACATACTTTAAAATATAAATAATTAGTTCAAAAATACCTTAAATTATGAATTAGTGTAGTACATACTTCAAAAAGAAAGTAGGACTAAAAAAAGAAAACATTGACTCTGAATTCAAATCAATTCGAAAAGACTTATCAAAAGAATACTAAAAGTTTCTCCTCGTGAAAGAATAAACGTTCCATTCTTAGCTTAATTACTATGGTTTTAACAAATGAAAGAAGCAAATTAAAGAAAATGGTACCTATTTAGTTAATGTACGTAAGGCTTCAATATTGAATCAAAGGAGTCTCTATAGAAAATTTTATATTACTGTCTAAATACATATTTATTATTATATTGGTTATCATTAATTTAAAATAATTTAAACTTTACCTTAACTATAGCAAGTTGGTAATTAAAAAAAACGATTAATAAATGAAATACTCTTAAATTCAGAATTGGATAGTCGTACTAAATTATTTATTATCAGCCAAACAAAAGTTTTTATGTTGTTTTTGTTAAGTGATTAATAGTATTTAGAAAATTTAAGAATTATAAACAAAACTTGGACAAAAAATCTATTTAAATGTTTCTTTATCTTAATAAAAACTTCAAACTAATGAGGTTTATCTTACACTAAATTATAACAAGAACTAAATTATAACAAGTTATAGACTCTCTACGGTCAGTAGCAGAGTCTATTTATTAAATATTTATATTTCAACCCAGCCAATTAAAAAAATACTATTATTAACTGTCCTGGACATATAAAATAAGTGATTTTTTGTATAAAATACTTCCTAATATATTTCTAAATATTTATTTCGAATCTATAAAAATAAACTACGCCCTAATAATGAAAACAACTATACAACTGCAAATATAAGTAGCAATTAGTTATGCAAATGATTTGCTTACTAGTCATAACTAAATAGAACTATTAAATGCTATAATCATTTCATACCTTATAAATTAAATATCTTTTTTTGCATCCAAGTAATTTAAAATCAGAAATAATTCATTAATGAAACATTTTATATTTAATTAAAAAAATACATGAATTTTATACATCAAATATATATAACTCAATAATTATACGTCATTTCATTTATGTATGTATATATTTTTCATAACATAAACAGGTCCGATGTTTCCGAAAGTAAAATTAAATCTAAATAACTCGTACAACAATATAATCAGCTGTTTCTGACGTTTAACTGACAGCTGTGACGTATTCAAATGAGTACTTTCAAATGACAATTTTCTAAACATTATTTAAAAAGATCGTACTTTTATATTTTAATATATGCAATAACAATGAAGTTATATATAGGTACTTTGATACATTGAGAATTACTGAGTATTGCTTGTATATAAATGCCCCTTTAAAATTATCACTAATACTAATGACTATGTTTATATCCTGGTAGGACTTGGGTTGTTATGTTTCGTAATATTTTCATATAAAAATATTTTATTCGTCATTCTACATAGTAAACATGTTATTAAATTCTTTAAATACTATGATTAAAACGATAAGGTTTCTAGCCAAATTAAATAAGTGTTCTGATATTTATTTACATTTATGGGTTCCGTAACCCCCAATACGACATACTCTCATTTTATTTTCACCTCTGAAAAACTAAAGGGGCTTAGATTTGTATAAGTAACTATACACTCCCCATAAACAACCTCTTTATTTACAATATCCTGAACATGTCTCAAGCAATTCTTTTTCAACGAAAAATTTAAACCACATTTTATCAATTTAACATAGAAGAAAACTACATGAATATTTAGTTCAGAGACCTTTTAAATGTTTATCGCAATATATACGTTGTGTGACATATGTTTAAGGTTTAAATCCGGTTGCACATAACATTCTGTACAAGCATTTAAGACAATGGCGAATCATTATAGTATGTATGGCAACGTTAGCATCGATTGTCGGTCGGACGGGCGCCATTGGCGGCGGCTGTGACGTCAGACTTATCGACCAGAGACGCCCACGTGGGCGCATGCGCGGTGGGCGCCTCGAAACTATTGGTTTTGAGTTTATTTTGAAGCGAGAATCGGAAAAACAAAGGGCAGTGAGGTTTCTACGAAGGCTTTGACGAGCTTATACAGCCTGAGCGTAAGAGGTTCAGTTATCAAAGAAATTAAATACTGTTTTGTTTGTATGTAAATTGTTTTCTTTTTTTGATAAAAACATTTGTTAAGGTTTTAATGTAAATATACTTATGTAAATATGTTCTAATATATGTACAAATGAATCTAGCTATATTTAGTCTTATATTTCTTAAACATAACCCAGTCAGGTTACAAATTGATGACAAATCTGTCTACAGTTTTCCTACATTTCAACTCGACGTGACAGCCGATGTTATCTTGTATATTAAGTCTAGAGTTTATGTACTTGATTAAAATATTTGTATTACAAACAATATTTCACTCTTCATTGCTTAGAGAATTGTGATCATATTGTTTCGAAAAACATGAGTTTATACCAAAAAGCGTTATGTATATTTTTTATATGTATATATATTCATTTAAATGTCAACATAATAAGTTGATGAACAAATGAAGCCAATATAAAAATTATATATACATCATATTGTATATTCTTTTGTCATTATTAGAGTTAAAATAAATTGTAATATCCATACATTACTGGAAATTTATATAACCTTACTACGTCTTGCGAACTTTTTCAAACCAGCGAACAAAATCACTCAAAGGTTCCGTATAAATTATTTATATACCATTCTCTCTATTGAAAGTTAAGTAAAACAGAATTTTATTATCCTTTATAAGATTTTATAGTACATTAAATTCACGAGGATTATTGTAAGGACGACGAGTAAAAAAACTGTTTTACGATACGGGCATCAACCGTTAAAAAATTATTACTATTATACATTATATAAACCTGGACTTATAGTTTCACAATTATAAGTTTGAAATCACCAACCCGTCTTGAGCAGGCGTGGTGATTAATGCTCAAACCTTTTCCATGTGAGAAAGAGGCCTTTGCTCAGCAGTGGGCTCTGATAGGCTGATGATGATGATGTACATTATAATAGTAGAAAAATAATGAACGATTACAAGGAAATTAAAATAAGGAAAAACCTTCAGGAATCAACAGATTATGATCCAAGGTCGGTAGAATGGCATTCCATGGTTTAGATTCCATCGAGAAGGCTCAGAAAAGGCGATGCGGGTTTTTAAATTGATACCAATGGACCCTGAAAATATCTGAGCTATTTGATCAGATGAGATATAAGCCTTATAGCTTGAGAATATAATTAAAATATATCTTCAAATTTATAATGATACACGAAAATCATCGAATAGCTTCATTTAAATTGCAAAGACTCAAATCAATCGATAACTATACACCAATAATATTTATTAACGACTGTGTATAAATTTACACTTTTGTACACATATTTGTACACGTCAAACATGTACATGAAATTTTTCATTTTAGATGTCATGAACCAATTAAATTATCTTATATATATCTTTCTCGTGTCGTGGTGTTAGTCAGGGAACTCCTCCGAAACGGCTGCACCAATTTTGATGAAATTTTGTGAGCATATTAAGTAGGTCTGAGAATCGGCCAACATTTAGTTTTCATACAACTAAATCATAAGGGTTATTCACCCTTAATTTTTTTTATAATGTAGCATTAAAAAAACATACAACCCAAAATTTTTACTTTTTTATCACCAACCCCTATTTTTATATCAAAATAACGTTTGCCGGGTCAGCTAGTATATCTATAAAATGTCACATATTTGTAATTAAAATTATTAATCATTTTTGTACTAATAATTAAATAGTACAATCTAATAATTGTTAGTAATTCAATGTTTATAAACAAGTGAGAACAGTTTGTGTTATCCTTCTGACGGTCTTAATTAACTATTCTCAGACGGATATTGAAAATTCATATGTAGGTGGCGAGGGAACTGTACAATTTATAGATACCGACCGTTTGTTTACGAGATCATAGCTCAGAAACTGTTTCGTGGTAGAAAAATAATAGATAGGATAATTGTACATATAAAGAAAAATCTACAATAAATAACCCTTGATTTTATATAATTACTAATTATTCTTCAATAGTATGATTTATCATGTTTTAAAAAATCGATTAAAATGTATGTCTATGAATAACATTTAAAGTGAATAAATTATGTACTTAAAAAGTTATTATTACTACTATTAGTAAAATCATCAGTCGTAGCACTTGTCGTAGCACTAGTCGTAGCACGGCGTAGCGTGACGTCATGCGTAGCTCTAAAGCTCGTCAATGTTGTATGTAGGCGTACAGACGATTGAAAATAGGAATAGTTAGTAAACAATATTTTCATGTAGGTTCTCGGATTACCATATTTAAATAGACTAAATAATATGTTCGATTAAAATTACAAAAAACTTTATAAAAGACAGTTATCTATACATTTAAGATCAGTTTTAAATACAAATTAATTTATTTGTATATTGAAACCTCTTGCACTTTAAGGTAACAAAATTACTTAGTGTTATGTGACGTCATCAAAGCAATAATTAGAAGATATTTTCACTTCATCTATTAAACAATTTTGTTTTATTACTCTTCTTTAAAATCAATAATACGAAAAA